GACCGTACGGACCAATTCCTTCGGGCGCACAATACTGATGGCAGGTTTGCTGAGCGTTTCATGGCACATGAACCAGCGGGATTTGCAAGTCAGCTCGCTTGGTGTAACGACTGCACTAGGTGGACGCGACAAGTGGCGAGGATCGCTAACCCGTGCTTTCGACTTCTGGAAGCAAGATTTCGACAGCTCACTGAACCGGTCGGAGGACCGCCCTGCTTCGAACTCATACGGATACTCTCATGGTGTCGATGACGACAACGTTTTCGAATCTCGGACTGTCCTCCATCACTTGGCGCATATGGCCATGCACGTCGATATCGTCGATTGTCAGATCTATGCAGGCGCTCCCAGACTACTTGGGAGGTCGATAACCCCGCAGGACTACAATGGCGCACAGCGCCGCATGAAGGAGATGTGGGCCCCCACCGCCCGGGCCCGGGACGCCACTTTCTATGCGCTCCGGTTTCTTTCCAACGTCATGGTCGCAGGGGACCACAGTTTGAATCCCAACACTCCATCTAGTGCTGGTTTCTCCTACTCGGCGCGCGATGATTACCTTCTCAATAGGCCATGGGTGCTGTACTTTGCCACGTTAATTGTTTGGTCGTACGGATTCGCGCTTGATGGCCCAGTCAAGGAGCCGTACCAACTTCCAAGCTATGACGACAAAGTCAGGGACATGGTACTCTACCTCAACCGTGTGGGCGGTGTTAGATCGCCAGAGGACCTGAGCAAGACATCTAACCGCAATGCTTGCCTGGGACTGTTGATCATTATGAGAGACATGTTCAAGAAGACGCGGTGGGAGTTGCTGCACGAGGCAAGCAATTTGTTGACCAAGTGCATTGAGATGCTGCTACCTGGCGCAGGTGGCCTATGAGCATAGCAGATGGAAAGGGACCATCTGTATCCTATACCCAGGCGTCACAGGGTTCGATGAGACGATATGTTTTTTCTAGCGAGCGATGGCATCTTTCATTCACGATATAATGGCTTACTGTCTGTCGATTTTGTGTTCAGGTCTGTCTTTTCTGATATCATGCATTCTAGCGAGGAGTGCTTCATGTTCGATACCTTTATGTACATTCACAAGTGGCTGCTTGGGTGGTGGAATATGGGCGGGATGCTGAGTTCATTGCCATATACCCTGGGAAAGGTGTGCTAATACATCATGGACTCTTTCCATACTCTCGAATAAAAACGTGCTTATATTTCTTCAAATTGTTTGCCGTGCATTGTGGTGAGCTTGACCTGAAATGAAGATGGGGCAGGACTACGCTGCACGTGAGAGCGTGACAACGCGCAGCCTCGGAACGCGAAAGTCGCGTCTTTTTGCAAGCAGTCGTACAGAACACTTGCGTAGAGAAATACATAGTCATGAACGTGCCTATATAATCTCTGACAGGTAAATGAACAGTTGGACCGAGTTTCCGCATGGTGCGAGGTTGGCCATTCCTCGCGCCATTGCGTCATTGATTGTGAAGACAAAGCTCCCTGCCGACGTCGCGTCCAGAACAACTACAATGCCCCCAAGATGCCTCGAATGAAGGCCGCCACCGTCTCGGATCAGACCGTGCGAAAGCGAAAACGGAAAACCCGCGCGGACGAGGAAACACAACCAGTAGCATCGGCTGCAGAGGGCGAGGGGCCGAGCGAGGCTCACAGGATCGTTGGACCCGACGGCTCGCTGATCGACCCCAACCAACCTGACCCCATTGAGACGACGACGACTACGAGCGTACCCACAAAGGCGCATGATGGAGGAAAGAAGCCACGACGTGCGCCGAAGAAGAGCGGTGCTGGCAGACCATCTCTCGCGCGCAACAACTCATCCACATTCGTTGAAACGTCGATACCGTGGCCTGAGCATTTCACAAAGCTGGCTCAGGTGCATCGCGCCGTGAATCTTGTTTACACGTTTCTATGCACACGCAAACACCTTGCGACCACACTTGAAAACCTAAGAAGCACAGTCGAAGCCAACATACAGCGAGAGCTAGTGGTTGAAGATGTGGCGCAAATTACGGCATTGGTCCCGAAGGCCATCAACTTTGCCTATGTCGATGAAGCAATGCTCCTAATCAATGTCATGGGTGCAGAAGACAACCTTCACGGGAGATCAACGACGAACTTTGCGATACTTGGGCCGGAACCGGACAAGGGTGAGCATAAGGAGGTGCTGCTGTTTGAATTCATCGATGGCGACTTGAAGCGCCAGGTACAACACAAGAAGACTGGGGAGCCTACGAAGGCCACGACGAAACTGCGGAATGAGGAACTCAAGATGCCCGTGTACAGCCAGAAGCAGATGATGAATTTGATTGAGAAGAGGAATCTCAAGTTCACATCGGCAGTCAACGCATTCCTGAACCAATGCGCCGAGGAAGGTGTTGATGCGGTAGAGAAGATCAAGAAAGTTTCAGAGGCTTTCGTTCCTGTGCCGACAGAGAGCCGACATTCCACGCCCGGCCCAGATCGATCGCTGCTACCAGCCTCCATACCAGCCGAGCGGAAGCCTATTCCCGACATCCTGAATGAGATCAAAACACTTGAGTGGTATACTGGTCAGATTGTGCCGGATGGTCACCGTGTCTTCGACCCCCAGGAACCTGTTTATGGCGACTTGAACTTCGCCATGTCACAGAATCTTGTCAACGCGCTGTATAACACGAAAAACATTACTCAGCTTTACGCCCACCAAGCGGAGGCAATAAACAATCTCTACGAGGGGCACAACGTAATAGTGTCAACTTCGACCAGCTCTGGTAAATCACTGATCTACCAGATCCCTGTTCTACACCAACTAGAACAAGAACCAAACACAAGAGCTATGTACATCTTTCCAACAAAAGCGCTGGCGCAGGATCAGAGGAAAAGTATGAAGGAGCTTTTACGATTCATGCCGGGCTTCGAAGAAGTTTTAGTCGAGACGTTCGATGGAGACACGCCCATGAGCGAACGCAATTATATCCGTGACGAAGCACGTATTATTTTCACAAACCCCGATATGCTGCACATCACAATTTTGCCGCAAGAAGATGCCTGGCGGACATACCTTCAGAATCTACGGTTCGTCGTGGTGGATGAGCTGCATGTTTACAACGGACTGTTCGGGGCACATATGGCGTTTATCATGCGCCGTCTACGAAGGATATGCGCTGCTGTCGGAAATCGTCACGTCAAATTCATCTCCTGCTCAGCTACAGTCGCAAACCCCGAAGAGCATATGAAAACCATCTTTGGTGTTGACAATGTCAAGTTGACAGACTTCGACGGTTCCCCTTCCGGACGTAAAGAGTTCTTATGTTGGAACACGCCTTTCAAAGATCCTGGCGACCCTACTTCTGGACGTGGTGATTGCATGGCTGAGACAGCAAAGCTGTTCTGTCAATTGATGTTGAGAGGCATAAGAGCTATTGCATTCTGCCGTATACGCAAGCAATGTGAAGCGCTGATTTCTGCTGTTAAAACCGAACTGACCAACCTGGAGCGACCGGAGGTTATCCCTCGGGTTATGTCGTATCGAGGTGGGTATACGCCACAGGACAGACGAGAAATTGAGCGAGAAATGTTTGACGGCAAGCTCTGTGGTATCGTATCTACCAGCGCTCTAGAACTCGGTGTCGATATCGGCTCCTTGGATGCTGTCATTACAGTCGGCTTTCCCTACACCATCGCCAACCTCCGTCAACAGAGTGGTCGTGCTGGTAGGAGAAACAGAGATTCGCTATCTGTTCTGGTCGGCGACTGCTTCCCCACTGACCAGTACTACATGTCGAATCCAGATGAGATCTTCACTAAACCTAATTGCGCACTCCAAGTCGACTTGACGAACATGCTTGTTCTGGAAGGCCACGTGCAGTGCGCTGCGTTCGAGATGCCTATTAATGTCGAAGCCGACACTACCTACTTTGGCCCTCTCCTTCCCAAAATCGCCAAAGAACGCATGCGATGCGACAAGGAGGGATTCTATCACGTGAATTCCCGTTTCCTCCCTCAGCCATCTCGTACAGTTGCAATTCGCGATACCGAAGAGGACCATTTCGCCATCATCGATATCACACACGGCAAGAACACGGTACTCGAAGAACTGGAAGCCAGTCGCGCTTTCTTCACTCTCTACGACGGCGGCATATTCTTACACCAAGGAAACACCTATCTCGTTAAGGAATTCTCCCAAGAGCGTATGCTTGCAAAGGTCGAATACGTAAAAGTAGACTGGACAACGCAGCAACGTGATTATACAGACATTGACCCCGTTGAAACAGAAGCCATCCGCCGTATCCCCGGCTCCCGGTGCAAAGCCTTCTACGGCCCCATCAAGATTCAACAAGTCGTCTATGGCTTCTTCAAGATTGACAAGAAGCGCCGTATTCTTGATGCCGTTCAGGTCGACAACCCACCCATCATTTTGTTTAGCAAGGGCATGTGGCTTGACGTGCCGAAATCTGCAATGGATATCTTGAAGTCGCGACGTCTGAACATCGCAGCGGGCATCCACGCCGCTGAACACGCCGTGTTGTCCCTTATGCCAAACTTCGTCATCAGCATGCCAGGAGATGTACGCACGGAATGCAAAGTCCCCGAGAAGGAGTTTTTGCAAAAGGAATCAACAAGAAAGCGACCTGCTCGGTTGACGTTTTACGATGCAAAAGGCGGGGCGAGCGGTTCTGGCATCAGCACCAAAGCATTTGAGTTCATCGATACATTGCTCAATCAAGCGTGTCAACGACTCACGTCCTGTCATTGTCTTGAGGGATGCAATGAGTGCTGTAACGATGATGCGTGTAAACAGCATAACCAGGTCATGTCCAAAGCAGGTGCCATGGTCATTGTCATGTGCTTGCTGGGCAAGGAGAAGCAGATTGATGTCGAGGCGCTGCCATGGGGTGAGGAGGATGTGGAACAAGGTTTCGATACGGTGATCGAGGCGGTTGGGGTCAGAATGGCGGAGGGGAAGACGAGAGATGGGGGGACGTTGCCTGGAGAAGGTGATGAAGGTGAGGAGAAGATGGTGAGAGCGAAACTTGTGGATGGTGTTTGGATTAAAGAGGAAGAAGAAGATGAGGATCATTTCAGTCGAAGCATTCATATGTATCGGGGTGAGAGGACGTTTATTGGAGTGCATAGGTAGCAAGGCTTCATGTCGTGTTTGCGCATCAATAAATACTGTGAAGGAAAACTACAGTAGAAAATCTGGAGTAGAGAAATGTACCAGTGTAACGACAGAACCACAAAAGTGAACCCCCACCCAAATCATCAACAAAGTCCGTATGTCGTACAAACCAATTATACAGAAACCCAAACCAACAAACGCCGCGCAATGCTTCATATACACGTGCCGATACCGTCATCCTAATTGTACTGCCTGCTCTTAGCAGCCAGCTCCTCTTCCTTCTGCTTCTTTGCTGCCTCCAACTTCCTCAACTCTCTCGCCACACCCCCGGACGCCCTCCACCAGACATCTGTGCCCGTTCTGATCAACCTCTCCGCCGCACTTGTTGGGCCATCAACTGCCGGCCTAACGTCGAGGAAGAAGACTGGCTCGCCCGTAGGTTCGGGCTCACCCTCGTAGTAATCAATCACGTATCTAATTTCCTTGCACCCTTTCTCGTTGCAGCGTTCGACGAACCAATCGTGGCGATCAAACGGGGGCGCCGTGCCAAACTTTTCCGGCATAACGTAACCGAGCCACTGCAGTATTTGAGATTTCGGCGTCGGTTCCGTAGGGCGACCGGTAAAACGAAGGAGTTTCGGGGGTTGGACATCCTTTTGGTCCCAGGTTGTTGTGTCAAAGGGGTCGTCGTGTGTGCCGAGCATAAAGTTTGCGACGTCTTCGCCCTTTTTGCAAATCTCATAGCCTTCTGCTAGACCGCGGGAGAAGCGTCGCTCCCAGCCCATGATCTCCGCCCAGGCGCCCTCGTTGAGAAAGTTGTGTACGCCAACCATGGACTCAACGGCTGTGATGTCCGTGTCGGTGTAGCCTTTGCGTAGCATGGCGTTGTACATTTGCTGGGGTGAGGGGTACTCCCAGAGTGAACCGTCACCTTTGGGAATCGTAGAGGTTTCGCGCTCGAGAGGGAGGTTTACGGATTGCGTGTCAGCTCGCTCATTTGAGAGTTCGGCGAACATGTTATTGAGAGGGTTTAGACGAGCGAGTAAGCCGGTCTTTGGTGGTGGCTCTGATGCGCCGGTAGAGGCATTTTCAGGCGGGACGTAGGGGCAGGCGCCTTGCGGTGTCTTCTTTTCGGCGACTACGGGCGCTGTAGGTTTCTTGTGCATTGGACATTCTGGCTGCGATGTTGTTAGAGGCGCATGCGCATGTGGAGTGGCACAAAACATACTGGAGGCTCCATGCTGCCTCGAGGCATAGGATGCGGCGCAACACGTGCTGCAGGTGCAGCGGGTGCGGTGTCTGCCCAAAACCAACCCATTATGAAGTATCGTGTAGAAGAGGAATTATGGCTGCGAAAACCAGAGGCAAGCAAGGGTATATAGGGCTGAAGAAGATGGAACGGGTGGCGGAGTTTATCGGGAGAAACAATTTCGTGCAGGGTCCTCGTCGTCATCGCTCTAAGCAGGTCAGCTACACTCCGATTGGCCAGATATTTCAGCGCAGTGAGAGATGATTTGGAAGCGATATTTGGATTTGTCTTCAGTTATATTCTTGATATTGTAAGTATGTCTGTTACATTTTGTTGTATTCCAGTCCAAAAGCGTCTTGTGTTGCTCTCCGACTGTAGTCCTCTATGATCCTGCCGCCTTTGCCGCCAACTGGCCAGTCCCCCGAGAGCTGAAGATGGCCATGATACCAAAACTACCATAGAAAAGAACCATGGGGTATGCTACCAAGCCTCGCATCGAAGTCATGCGCCCTGCGAAGTATGTTAGTCTCTGTAACAACCCTGTCAGAAGTCTCAACTTACCAACAACAGTGAACATCGAACTGGAGCTGTAAGAACACCATGTGATAGCCAAGCTTGTCAGAAGATATCCAAACAGCCCGTCAAGTGGTACAATGATTCCAAACATCGATACCAGTACGAGAGGAAGCAGACAGTATCCAAGCACCGAAGCCGATCGTGGGAATGTCAACGAGGAGCCGAGGTGTGAGCCATGCGGGTGACCGTGGTCTCCAGGGGTTGCCTCAACCGCGTTGACAGGTGGAGACATGAGCGAGAGGATCTGGTGAAGTAGGATTGTGCCGACGAATGCCAGGCCTGTTTCAGTCAGCCATTGTTCTCTTCGAACGGTTGTTTGGCTTACCATAGATGTAACCAAAATGAAGCTTGCCGGACAACTGCACCCTGTCAGCTCATGTTTCCCTGAATTTCTGTTGTCTTCATACCAGTAATGATGTGCCGAAAATCAAGAAGAAAAGTATGGGACCTGCTACGTCGCTGTCGTCCATGATGTGCTGGTCGATACGACCAAATGGGTTCAGAACGGCCAATGTCTTATTCATCGTCAGCTGTAGATAGCACAGGACATGGTTCAGAACCGACCTTCATTTGTATATGTCTGAAATTCACTCCCAATTCTTCCACTACACAATGTCAGCTCGTCGAATGCGATCGTGAGGTCGGTGTTGCGTACGTAGCGGCGGTTCTCCATCATATCTGCTACAAGTCAGCGATTGTTACACAAACACATCCTCGCGACCTACCCCTCAGTACCAAAAGCTGCCAGCCATCCTGTCCGTAGCCCTGAACTGCCCATGCCCATCTGTCCACTCACACCCGGTGCAGCGAACCCCGCGCCATACTGTGCGGGGTATGCTTGACTTGCCGGCGCGCCATAGTTTGCCTGGAACGGTGTAGAATGTCCAGATACTGGCTGATTGGAGAATGAAGATGGGTAGAATTGGAGGTTTTGCGCATTTCCTGCGCCGTATTGAGGGTTCTGTCCGTAGCCATATTGCGCCATTGTTCAATATGCGATTGCGTGTAGTACCGTGATCGGAAGTAGGTTTCAAGCTGTGATGATCTGGCTGTGGGGGGTTCGCAGTGCTGGTGCCTGGCGGAGGTCTAACGGAGGTGGTTTGGGGTCAAGATGGTACGTGGAGCTGAAGACGACGTCACCGGGGACTCTTGGGCGGAAAGGACAGATCGCGGGGGAGAGTGGGCTTTGGTATTGGGAATCGAGGACTCGCTCGCTGAAGTTGGAGGAAAGATTGTTTGTTTGCAATGTTGCGGCTCAAAGTGGCAGCCACATGTCATCGTGTGCATCGGCGTTGGCCATTCACAAGCCGCCGGGGCTTGGCAGCAACATGAAGGCGACGAAACCACATGGCACTATTGCATGTACTTAAAATGCAAACACACAACAGGAGGGATAATTGTTCGTGAACTTGACAACATATGTTTAGAAATGTTTGTTCATGGGTTTGAGAGGGGTATCTAACACTAATTCTAAGAGGAGAGTCATCATTCATACATCAGAAAACCGACAGTTGCTGTATTCGCAAGCAATGTCATGTCCGTCGCCACGGGAGGTATCCAGGCTCTTTCCAAGCCTCAGACATCAAGTTCAGTACATCTCCCTGGTTCGTCTTGACGTATAGTTGCACCAGTCACACTGTCTGAGCGTTAGCAGCAGGTTATACCTCTCGTTGTATTGTACTGACCATGGTGTCGGAAGACGCATCGTTGTCTTCACGACAATACTCATTGTTGCATTTCTTGCAAGTCCGAATAAAAAGCTCTTTACAGCTTATGCACGTATGGCCACAGCCAAAACAATCACGTCTTACACCGATAACCTGCAGCAATTCACGTTAGCCTATTTCTTGATTCAAGATCGAGCACTTACCTTGGCGCGCAAGTGACAGTTCCAGGTGCAATTATCCAATAGCCAGGCTCCACGGCCAGTCTGGGTAAGACTGGTTTCCGGAATCCAACTACATCGTAACGGCCTCAAGGTAGCATCGCTTCTCGCGCGCCAAGGTAGGTCCATCATCCCCACATCCCGTCGCTACCGGCTCCAGCCATCATTTCTTCACGGAGGCAGTGTTCCACGCAGAGGCCCATATGTACCTTGATCGTTTGCTTTGGGAGCAGTTGACTAGTCCCATCAGGTTTCAAGCTCTCAGTAAGCTCGGTCTGCTGTAGTTCCGTACGTTGGGCGGTAACGGATCCAGTATAACAATCCTCGTCCCACCATTTGTGACATCTTTCGCACCAGCGTCCCTTGAGGCAGTCCTCGCATCGCACTATCAGAGGCGGTGGCGCAGAACCGTCGAGAGTATGCGGTATCTGGGCAGCACGCACAGAGGAGCCATGCAGCGGTACCGGGCTGAGTAATGGATGATGTGATGGGCTTGAGTCGCCGAAAACTGCTGGTCCTTCTGGAGACGAGTGACATGTCTCGCAGCCCGATGGGCCAAGTGCGACAGTTGCGATTGTAGGCCGCAGGAAAGAGGATGGATGAGTCGCTCCACTCGCAGTTGCATCCCTAACATATGCTTTGCTCGGGTCATGTCGTGGTCCTCTGCACAGAACAGCATCGAAAGCAATGATGCCTTCGCATGCTTGGAGTATTTCTGCCCATTCCGGGGACGGCCGCTTTGGTATGATTTTGCCAGAAGATTGATACCATTTGTCCTCGGTCTGCGCTAGTACAGCGTCCAAGGCTTGTTGCGATTTCTCGTTCCATTGTGCCCCAATCTGCGCCCCTTGTGAAGTCGTCACGCCTCTAGGAATGTCTGCGGACAGTTTTCTCGTCACGGGCGATGCAGGACGCGGTGTTCGGTCGCGGGGTCCAAAGATGTAGATGCCTTTGACTCGAGGTGTGCCCGCGGGCCTTGATGGTCGAACCGCATATCGGAGGTATTGCTGAAGCTTGCGCTCGTTCATGTGCTTAGCTTCGCGAATAGAAAGTATACGAACGTTGAATCGTTCTTCCGTAAGCAATTCTTTGACCAACTCTGCTGTCACGCTGAGTCCGTCTAGGACAAGTGTATGTACGTTACGCAGAACATGGAGCTTCTCCAGCCTGTTGAAGATGTGGCGTAGAGGACCGCTGTAGAAATCGTCTTCTGTGAGGGCTTCATCCATTCGCTCAGCGCGAAAACTGACACCACCGACATCAAGAGGTCCATCGAAAGGCACAATAGCAGACTTTACAGGGGAGAGGTCCAGGTAGCGGAAGGCTTCTGGCGACTGGAAGACGGCATGATGTAGAGACTTGCAGGTTCGCGACAGGTTACGAAGGGCAGATATTGGCAGGTAGGGAGCAGTCTGGCGCAGGATCAAGGTGTTGGAAAGTAAGTCCGCCAGGGAGGTAGGGAGGTCGTCACAGAAAGTAGAAGGGCCCATGGCGTATGCTCGAGGAATACAACCAGAGAAATTTGGCCAGAGGTTAGATGGGTACTCACCGATTCTTTATCACAATGCAAGACGGCAGGCCAGACAGGCACGTGCCACTGATCTGACACTGCAGGTGTGTGTTGGATGAGCAAAAGGAAAGACTAATCGAGGTTGAGACGCTGCAGAAGATGGGGTTTGCGTAGGCGTGGGATACCGCCGATGGCTCGCTCCCTGCGGCGATCGCAAATGGAGACCCTGCCAAGGCCGGTGTAGTACGCAACTCAAAGCTTCCTGCAAGATCAGGCCGCGATGAAGCATAGATTGGAACACGTCTTGCAGCCAAGGCCGCGCCGGAGGTCTTGGTCGTGGACTGTGGAAACAGGCTAAAACAGTCGCTGCGAGATGTCAAGCATGCGACGCGACGCTGGAAGCCACCGGGGTAATTGCCCCACGTTGGCCGGTTACGAGCATGAATCGACATATCGAAACTCAACAGGAGTCTTAGTATAGATGGTGCCAGAGCTCCTTAAGATAGTGCCCGGGCAGAGCCAAGGATCTCTTGCTGAATAGCGAAAAGACTTGCAAACTTTGATTACTTGAATTTCCACGCGCATTAGAGGTTGCATGTTGCGATGCCCTTCGCGATAGCTATCGGAGTATCTACGGAAGGCTAGTGATCGCCTCTCGCCAATGCACCAGGGGAAAGGTTGCTCACCGGACGCCCAAGATCCCAGGCCGAATATAGATAGAGACTAGGATTGGGGGAAATGGGTAGTTTTCTCCGTCCAACGGTGGCGGTACCTTCACGCGTTACCACGCGAGGCGCGAGCGCTATCGATAAGCCTAACGGGCCGAGGCGCGGAAAGGAAGCGCAATGACGCCAGGCATTCACCGAAGCTTCGAGTAGAGAGGCGCATATGTCAGCCATTTCACGCTTCCAGCACAACAACTGCGATCCTTCATGCGTTTCCCACCACAGTCCCTACCTTCGATTCTCCGCAGGTAAGACACATCTACCATGGATTCGGAAGCAGAACCAGCAGAGCTGAAGTGGTCCGCTCAATACGAACTCGCGCACGTATCTCGAAGCACGCTACCGGGCGACAAACTTCTCCTTCCACCATCAGCGTTGGAGCAGCTTCTCGCTGCGGCGCCCGTTGTTCACGTCGACGAAAATCGACCGCACATCACCGCTTTCGATCCCTTCAACCCGTACACGTTCAACGCCGAACGCCACGCAAGACAACAGACGCAGGATCGCTTCCAGCAGCTACCCCACCCACTTACCTTTCGACTCGTGAACCCGGAAAATGGCAGAGTTGTACATGCAGGGATACGCGAGTTCTCTGCAGAAGAGGGCGAGATCGTGTTGAGCAGTTTCCTGAAGGAGGCGTTGGGAATCCAGACACAATCTGCAGAGCCGTCGAGAGATGCTAGTCCAAATGGCCAGGAAGAAGTCGATGCGGCCATGTCGAACGGAGCAGCACCGCTCGAAAACAACGGTGCTGCATCCACAAAGATTACAGTGCATGCCAAACAGCTGCCCAAGGGCACTTTTGTAAAGCTACGGCCGCTCGAAGCTGGTTATGACCCAGAGGACTGGAAATCGCTACTTGAGGAGCATCTTAGGTCCAACTTTACGACATTGACGAATGGCGAGGTCTTGGTTGTAGACGGTGGCCGAGGGGTTGGTGGTAAGCGCGAGGAGTTTCGTTTCCTTGTAGATGGTTTCAAGCCCGAAGGAGATGGGATTTGCGTCGTAGACACGGACCTGGAGGTGGACATCGAGGCTTTGAATGAAGAACAAGCACGCGAAACAATGAAGAGGATAGCTGCGAAGATGCACCGTGCACCCGGAACGTCGCAAGGTAGTTCTACTGGCGGGCTGGTTGACATATTTAATGCGCAAACCGGACAAGTACTTGAAGGAGAATATGTTGATTTCGAGCTGTCGTCATGGGATAGATCTCGAGGCTTGGAAATTCTCTTAGATGAAGTGGACGATGAGGATGAGATTGATCTATTCGTCAGTCCATATTCATCACGACAAAGAGCTCGCCCACGGGAAGACGAGCATGTCTTTGCAGTCGTAACAAGCCAGTACCCGAAACGCATACGCCTGCGGCCTACAAACGTCGAACTCGACGATGCAGAAGCTGTGTGGATTTCAGTCCACGCATACCCATCCGAATCACCTTCAAACACACCCAAACCCTTCCGCTTGAAGGTGTCGGTTTACGATCCCAACACAGAAGCAGAAGATAAAATGGAAGATGTTCTGGAGTCCAATGGAACGGTGGAACCGGACGAAGTAATTTGTCAAAACTGCAAACAACGAGTGCCCAAAGGCTCACTCTTTTTGCATGAGAACTTTTGTTTGAGAAACAACATTCTCTGCCCACAAGGTTGCGGACAAATCTTTCAGAAGCGTTCGCCTGCCTACCAAACCCACTGGCATTGTCCCCACGATACCTTCACTGGTAACACTCCATTAAGTCGACAGAAACACGATGCTCTCTACCATACGCCACAGGTTTGCTCGACTTGCGATATGGACTTTCCGTCGATACCCATGCTCTCACACCACAAGACTACAGTATGTCCTGGCAAGCTGATTCTCTGCCGCTTCTGTCACCTACAGGTTCCACAGGAAGGTGATCCGAATGATCAGTCCCCAGAACTCCTCCTTTCCGGTCTTACACCACATGAACTAGCAGACGGCGGCCGAACAACAGAATGTCACCTCTGCAACAAGATCGTCCGCTTTAGGGATATGGACACACATCTCCGACATCATGATCTGGAACGCCTATCCCGCCCTCCACCGCGCATGTGTCGGAACGTTAATTGCGGCCGTACTCAAGATGGTGCAAACAAGGCAGGCGATACACGAGCTGGAACGCGCAAAGGTCAAGGCCCAGGCAACGAGATCGGCTTGTGCAGTGTCTGTTTCGGACCTCTCTACGTCTCTCTGCACGACCCAGAAGGCAAAGCACTCCGCCGCCGTATCGAGCGCCGCTACCTCTCTCAGCTACTTACCGGCTGTGGGAAGGCTTGGTGCAGGAACGAGTATTGTCGCACCGGCCGTAAGAACTTGGGACAGGAAGACAAGTCTGTACCCACTAAAGACGCTATCCCACTCGTGAAGCCATTCTTGCAGGGCATGGACGGGAAGGGTTATGACACTCCGCTGCACTTCTGCGTCGACGAGAGGACGCAGAAGTCTAGAACGCTGGCTGAGATGGTTGCTGCAGAAAAGGGCATTGAGGGCAAAGGTGGATACGGTCTAGAGTGGTGTATTGCTGCAATGGAAGCTGAAGGTGGAGATCTAGACAAGGCGAGGAGCTGGCTCAAGGGGTGGGCACCTCAGAGAACGGAGGCTAGCTAGTGAGGGCTGAGAATATTTTTATCGATGCATTTGCATTGCCGCAGTTAGAACAATAGAGGTACGATGGGGGTTGTAGCATATAGACTAGATTAGAGAGATACCCAATAACGATGTAGACGACCTTAAATTCACATAACCAAATCTACATATAAATCTCAATCCCATATTCCTTCCACATGATCTACAGTTTACTCTTCCCACTCTTGTCTTGCCCCTCCCTTTCCGTCTGCCTCCCCATGTCCTTCGTATTGCTCGTCTCCGCTTTCAAGCTCGCTGGATCGCCGAGTTGCGTCTTATTCACCTTTGCCCCGTCGTCGTTTGCTAGTGTACCTCGTACTTTTTTGCTATGTGGAAGATTCTCCTTTGCCTCATTCTTCTTACCTCCTTGCTTCCCATCTTCCATGTTTCGACCCTCTACGTTTCCGCCATTGCCTATGGCTTTTTTGTCGCCGCCGCCAGCGCTTGTACCAGCTTTGCGATAAGGGTCTGAGACTGTGGGAGCAGAATCTGAAGATGAAGATGAGGATGAGGAGGCAGACGGTGTATCATTCCCTTGACCGGCTGGTGGAGCGGAATCATTTGATGGGAGAGACTTTTTGTCGTCGTTGGCGGGTTTTAGACTCGTGCCATCCCCTAGATCGGGGGTGGATTTGGTGGAATTGATTGCTTCTTTGGTCTTTGGGTTTGATAGGGTGCCGCGGACGGATTTGGAATGCGACGTGTCGACCATTGTTGCTGATGTTTATCCGTGTAGGTATGTTTGGTGATGTTACAACTGCGGAGTAGAAAACCTGGGGAAGAGGAGCTTATGACCTACCAGTACCTCGGCAGCTACATCATTGAAATATAGGCGTAGTTTGAGATCTTCCTACTTGTTTACGGCTCGCGTGTCTTTGACGTATTGTTTAGCGCGTATAGATGACGTCTTGCATTATTGAGGTGCGCAATCACATGAAAGCATTAGGGTCAGATTTGAGTCTTTCCACACTCGTTGTTAGGAGTTGCATCTACCAAAGTAGACATCGGTCTCAGACTGTGTTGTTGTTGTTTGTTCTTAAGGCATCAATGTCTGTCGTAGCCACGAACGAATGAGGCTGCGTCGGCGGCTTACTGAGCTGAGCACTGACGATCCCCATGATCCGTCGCACCTCGGCATCTCCCTACCCCAGAGCTCCACAATCATGTCCTCGATAAACGTTGCGGGAGCGATACAGGCGGTTCCTGTCCCAGAGAATATCGATGCGCCATGACAGACGCCGTCATTTCCCGACTGTCGTCAGTTCCTTGGGCTGCTGCCTTGATCAATGACCCCAATTGGACTCCAGTCAACACTGCCTCCCGGACACCAAAGGCATCCGGGGAAGATTCCTTCTTTGCAGAAACTCTAAGTACAGGTCGCACGATACGAAGCCTTCTGACGCTTCGACCGATCAACGAAGAAGATGGCGATATCGCATACAAGGAGGTCAAGACTATCGTGGAGCTAGGTGACGGACTCAACGGCTACCCACAGATCATACATGGGGGTTGTGCTGCGACACTACTTGACGAGATGTGCGGTATCTTAATCATGCTGAATATGGAGAGGAAGGTGCAAAAAATAACAGAGGACGGCCGCCGCGCAGCTGCCTTGAACTACTTTACCGCCTGTTTGTTCATGTCGCGCCTCAACTCTAACACACAAGCTGAACGCAAACAGATTTGAACACCACCTACAAGAAGCCGGTGCCGACACCCGGTGCGCTTCTTCTTACGGCCAAGATCGAGCGACAAGAAGCGGACGATCGGAAACTATACGTTCGTGCGACCATCGAAGACGGCAATGGTACAATATACACGCTCGGCGAAGCCTTGTTCATCAGGGTTTCAACCAAGCTATGAGGTCGTTATAAACCGTCACATGCTCTACATGTGAACAGCCAGTGATGCGACAGTATTACAATGTGTTACGGAATGTCCTTGAAGCGCCTGTCAAAATGGGCCTCACTCGGATGCCGGTCGCCGACCAGCCTCAAGAGTACGTTGACCAAAGTAGCGCGTACTAAACCAGTACATGAATACAGTCTCTCATCTTGAGGTCGTACCACTCGCGTGGCCATCTTTTGTATACGGCTGTGTGCCGAGATGTTTGTCGTACGACACCGCACAATACAATTGCATGCCGCGATCCTACGCAGGACGACATTGCGCTTGTTGATGTGAATCCCGACCCCTTTTTCCTGCTGCAATACAGAGTCCCTGTCACACTTCGATTTTTGAACGTCTATCACCATAGCCACCTTCCAATACTGTGACTAGACGGGCGTGTACTTGGAAATTGGCGCTGCTAACTTTTTCTACCGCAATTAGGCTGACCGACTTTGTCCGAAGTTACAAGCGTACGTTCGCTTGACTACCTGGATCGCATACTCTGTGACTATTCCATCGGCATCTGCTCACGTTTTGCGACATATGAAGCTACTGAGCGCGGCGCCAGCCCTTAGTGGCAGATCGGCCGAACGTGCAAGCTGGGTTCCGGCCACATGACTGGTCACAACCATATTCTTTTAATCTATCCAACCCTGACCCACATGATCTACCCTGTGCATGACCGTCGTCTAGGCCTGGCTCCTAAGATCTGGGGTAGTCAAGCCGGCGCTTGCGATGTTGCAATCTCCAAGGCATGCACACAGGAAATCCTTCTCTAGAGTACGGCGCTCGATCAACCTCTAACCCAACTAAAGCTCTACCATGCCCAGGCCTGGGCATGCCCGAGTCCACAAACGACGCTATATGCTCCGCAGTGAGCGTTCATGCGCCTGACATCGCCGTCATTTGCAAATTTTTTACTGGTGCCGTTTCAAACTGACTTTGTTCCGATCAGGCAGGTCCAAACAATGATGTCGGGCTGGTCTTGAGGTTGATTGTCTTGCGACAGTCTCACAAGACTCCCTACATTTGCCCCATCACTGTACAGTCGGTGTAAAGTAAGTGCCTTGACGTCCAAGAAGGAACTAACAGGAGCACGCGGTCTTGAGGCTTATGCTGCAGGGCAAGATCATAGGGCAGACCCATGCAGTGCGACGCATGGCTCTACTATCCAGGACTACCCCACATTCAGGCGTCGCCGTCGAACTACGGTAGATGGCGCAAACCCGGGGTTCTAGCATTCATGACCGGGGAGCCAATCGCAGAGACGTTCGCTCTGGTCTTAGGATTAGTGTTCATCACATGCTTTAATCGGTGCTTGCGTTGTCACTGGACAGCACTTCACAGAAGAAATATGCGTAGGGCCGACCCGATGACCAGTGCCTATCAAGGTTAGCTGTAAATCCCCTGAGTCTCATCACAGCTCCTTCTCTGCTTGCAGCTTACTCAAGGCGTATGTCGAAAGGCATGTTGCATTTCAGTATCCGCTACCATTCAACCTCTGGTGAAAGCTGCAATTTTTGTGCATCATAGCGACAGATTGCGACAAATGGAAAGGTGGACTAAGCTTGCCAAATGGCTAAACAAAGCAAAATATTCTTCGGAGATTTGGCTTGAAGGGGAAGGGTGTAAGTACGCGCTCTTCCAGTCCCCAGACTACGTTACTCAGACTAAGACATCTCGAACTGTGAACCGAAATGAGCTATGTAACCCCTTCAAACGGCAACGGGGGTAGCCGCCTAGTGAGTCAGTATGCGGTAGGTCCTTATGACCTTCTAAGTGGCAGTCGGTGAGGTTTCCTCATCACCGGATGCTGCTCGTTAGCCAGTCGGCAGGCTTCGTAGGGGCAGATCCTTAACTGATCGCGTGGGTGTATGGATCTTCTCCTATCACTCAAGAGGGGCGGTAGTAAACAAACGGAGGTGTTAAATAGACATCATCATCTCCCCTCCTGAGACCTCTTTTTTATTACTATACTCTACACTCCTTTGTATACCTCCTCTTGGTGTTTCTACTGTACATAGGATTGTCTACTGGTACATTCTTACGACCATGCACTTACCCTCCTTGATCGCCTGCCTCGGTGCAGTCGGTATTCAGGGTGCTGCTATATGTAAGCAAATATCTCCCCCCTTTACAACTTAAGGCTGACATTACGTAGCCCGGTTTAGCAGACAAGTATCAAATGATACTGAGCCTGCATCAAACATAAGCAGCATCCAAGGAATTGCTGCTATCACAGATGGATACTGGTTGAATGATCTCTCCGGCAACGGAAGAGCTGCCTTCAACGGTAATAGCGCTTACAAAGTCTTCCGCAACGTCAAGGAATACGGCGCGAAGGGTAAGTCGCTTTGCTTTTCGTGTTCCAACATACCATTGACGCTCTTACAGGTGACGGTGTTACCGATGATTCCGATGCAATCAACCGTGCTATCTCCGACGGGAACCGTTGCGGTCCCGGCGTGTGTGACTCGGCCACTGATTCCCCAGCCGTGGTCTACATCCCTTCTGGAACCTACCTCATCAGCAAACCCATCATCTTCTATTACATGACACAACTCATCGGTAACCCTCGAGGTCTCCCTGTTTTGAAGGCTGCTCCTACTCTCCAAGCTCTTGCTCTCATCGACGCTAGTCCTTATGGCAGCAACGGTAACGCTGGCTGGACGTCAACCAACATCTTCCTACGACAAATCCGTAATTTGGTCATCGATGGCACCGCTGTTGCACCTACCAGTGGCTTCCAAGGTATCCACTGGCCTGCCTCGCAAGCTACAACTATTCAGAATGTCAAGATCCGCATGACCCAGGCGTCAAACTCGGTACATGCTGGTATCTTCGTTGAGAACGGATCTGGTGGCCACATGGCTGACCTTGATATTGAAGGTGGTTTATATGGTATGAACATTGGAAACCAGCAGTTCACCATGCGCAATGTCAAGATCTCCAAGGCTGTCACCGGTATCTCTCAGATCTGGGACTGGGGCTGGTTGTACTCCGGTCTTTCAATTAGCGACTGTGGAACCGCCTTCTCGATGAGCAATGGTGCCGCCGCCAACAAACTCGAGGTCGGCTCTGTTGTCATTATCGACTCTGAGATCACCAACTGTCAGAAGTTTGTCGACATGGCGTGGACAAGGACCAGTAAGCCTATTGGTGCTGGCCAGCTGATACTCGAGAACATCAAGCTCAACAACGTGCCAAACGCTGTTGTAGGCAACGGAGCTACTGTCCTCCCAGGTGGAACGCTCACTATCCAAGCTTGGGGTCAGGGCAACAAGTACGCTCCCAATGCGAACGGTCCAGAGAAATTCCAGGGAAACATCTCTCCTGTCGCTCGACCAGGAAGTCTTTTGGATGGTGGCAAGTACTATTCCAAGTCGAAGCCGCAGTACGAGAACCTTGGTACTGGTGACTTCATCAGTGCTCGTGGTAGTGGAGCCACAGGTGACGGTCGTACCGACGACACCAGGGCTGTGCAGGATGCCGTCACCAGGGCCGCTGCTCAAAACAAGGTGCGTAATCGCTTTAGTACTACACTTTATCTCTTTTCCAGATACTAACTCTACCATCCTTGTAGGTTCTCTTCTTCGAACATGGCGTTTACAGGGTCACAAACACCATTTACGTCCCGCCAGGCTCCCGAATGGTCGGTGAGACCTTCTCTGCTATCATGGGCTCAGGTGCCACATTCGGAAACAAAGACAGCCCTGTACCCATCATGCAGATTGGCAAACCCGGCGAGAGCGGTCACATCGAATGGTCTGATATGATTGTGCAAACCCAAGGTGCCACTCCAGGAGCTATTGTCATCCAATACAACCTCAACAGCGACCGTGGCTCCGGTGTCTGGGATGTTCACACCCGTATCGGAGGTTCCAAAGGTACCAATCTGCAGGTTGCTCAATGCCCTGCCACTGTTGGATCCGTCAATCAGCAATGTATGGCTGCGCATACCAACGTGCACGTTACCAAGGGCGCGAACGGAGCGTATTTCGAGAACAACTGGTTCTGGACAGCAGATCATGATTTGGACGATGCACGATCCACACAAATCTCCATCTTCACCGGACGCGGTCTGCATATCGAAGCGCAAAACGTGTGGCTATGGGCTAACGGCGTGGAGCATCATGCGCTATACCAGTACCAAGTAAGTCACTCTCAATCCTGTAACATGGCAATACAAGCAAAAGCTAACAAGTAGATAGTTCAACGACGCATCGAACATCTTCGCGGGCTTCATCCAAACGGAAACCCCGTATTATATGCCCACACCTGATGCCTCCAACCAGCCCTACGGCAGGTCCGACGCTTTCTCGGACCCCGTCTACCCATCTGGTGCATCAGCCTATGGCCTCCGCGTGCTCAGATCCAAGAACGTGCTCATCTACGGTGGCGGCTTGTACTCCTTCTTCCGCAACTACAACGTCGGATGTTCAAGTGCTGACGCACCGAATGGATTCCGCAACTGCCAGAGTCGTGTCTTTTCTATCGAGGGTGCTAGCAGTGTGCAGGCTTTTGCACTGAGTGAGGTGGGTAGTGAATGGATGGTTACAGTTGATGGAGTCGACAAGGCCAAGTGGAGTGACAATCTAAGTGTGTACTCGAACACTATCGGCTGGCTTGGATACGGATTCTAGATCTGGAAGGGAATGTTGAAGTGTACATAGGAGTGGGGGATTCAATTGGCTGTATATATGGGCTGGAGTTTGGTGTTCCCCAGGTGTGCTGGCTACGGTCGCTATTCGTTTGTCGGGCTATCATACTATCGGCTTAGTATGTGCTTTCTTCGACAATGCAAAGGCTCAAATCATGCTTCTTCTCTATTTGTCCTCTACCGAGTGTCAGCATTCATTCCCGCTTCATGTAGTCGTGTGGCTAGCAGTTGATGTTGCACCTCAAGCTGAGTACTCGTGCGTGATCACTGTCTAACAATACTCCTACATCTTTTGACCAGCTTTTAGTGCTTCGCGAAAATAGTGTGTTAGGAATTCCAACGTCAACCGCTAAAAGTTGCTGTTTCCCCACGTGGCGGACCCTGCATACACAACTCCAGGCCGCCCCACCGAGGGGCACGTAGGTAGCTCTGACGTTCGAAAGCTATCGAGCGCAGCTACAACATCACCAAAAAAAGTCTACTTTCAATTTATCAAGCTCCAATCGCAAACTGTTAGAACAAACCGATCGATATCCAAGATGGCCGGCGTCAACCTCCAAGAAGTCCACGACTTCATGATCTCTATCGCCAAACAAGCTGGCGAACGCATCGTCTCCGCAAAACCCACAACTCAAGGCTCAGGGTCGAAGAAGAACTGTACGTAGCGATCGCTCAAGTGGGAATCTGTACTATCAAAACGACCAGTACTAACTAAATTGGATTGCAGCGGTCGATCTCGTCACCGAGACTGATCGCGCCGTCGAGAACCTCATTTCGACATCCCTCCGCGAGAAGTACCCAGACTACGAATTCATGGGCGAAGAAACATACGTAATGCTTCCGTACGAACTGCATATGAGACAGCTACTGATCTAGAACACCAATTTCCAGAAGCCCGGCGACAAACTTAACGCAGCACCGACATTCATCTGTGACCCCATCGACGGAACGACGAACTTTGTGCACCGATACCCTTATGTTAGCATTTCACTCGGTCTAGCGATAGAGCGTGAGCCTACTGTAGGAATCGTGTACAACCCATTCACACAAACTTTGTACTCTGCCATAAAAGGACAAGGCGCGTATCTGAATCAAACGACCAAATTACCACTATCACCACCAACGCCGCTGGAGACACTGAATACCTGTTTGGTTGCTGTGGAGTGGGGCAGCGACCGGAGCGGGAATGACTTCAAGGTCAAGAGTGAGACTTTCAAGAAGCTGGCAGCCACAAAGGAAAATGGGGGTGGCATGGTACATGGGTTGAGATCATTTGGCTCGGCGGCGCTGAATCTGTGTGGGGTTGCGAGTGGAGGTTTGGACATCTACTGGGAAGCGGGATGCTGGGCATGGGATGTTTGTGCTGGGTGGGTTATCTTGAAGGAAGCCGGCGGCATGGTGGTTGATGCAAACCCGGGAAACTGGAATCCAGAGGTTGAGGGGCAGAGGTATCTTGCTGTACGAGGGGGTGAAGGACAAAAGGAAATTATTGAGGAGTTCTGGAGCTTGGTTGATGGTGCCTTTGAGGTGGGTACGTAGAGGATGGATACTCCCGTGAGAAGAGTGGTAAACATGGTCAAGTTGGACATCATATCACATCAGCATCAGCGCAGTAATTAGCGGCGGCCAAAGGTTTTCTCATTATTGCCACCACTAAGATATCCTCCACAGTCAGTCAGAACCTTTCGAGCGGTCTCGATCAATCTGTCACCGCATCGAACACGTCTCCACCAGAGAGTGGTGTTCTCCAGCACGATGTCTTCCTGATCCACGCAGCACCATGTTTCCAAAAACGAATGTCCCTTCTTTTCCTTGGTATTCATACAACAAGCGCTTGATTCCCTAAAGCACAAAACAAAGGAAACACAGTTTCGTCGTCGTGTACTCTCTCCGCAAGCAGAGAGGGGAAGAGCTCGTTGATATCGTTGAATTAAGGATCAGGGGGAACGCGATAGGGGTAAGCAAACTCCACTAGTAAAAGAGAGCGAGCAAGAGAGATAAGATGAGTTGGGATGATACAACGGTACGCCGAATGTTTTTGGTTGTTTTCACGTTTTGTCGCTGGTCGGCAATTTGGATGTGCGAGCGGAGTAAGGTATGGTTTCCAACTTGGTGTGTACTCCGGGGTTGTATGCGAGGTGTGTTTGTTTGCGGGTGTTGCGGTGACGGGTAAGTGGGTGTGCGAATCAGTGTCTTTAGATGGTCCTAGGAGTGCCGCGGGCTGAGGCGCTGCCGGATTGTCAGTACGAGATCAACATCACAATATGCAAGAATCTTCAAAAGAGGGTAGAACAGAGAGGCGCAAGGCGTACCTCGCGTCCACAAGATCATCGACATGATTGCACATAGCCACGAACAGGTCAAAGAACAGTTTTCCCCCCATCTCCATCTCCATCTGCATGGTGCCACTACGCTTGAAAGTTTTCCGACTGCGGATAATCAGAGCGAGGTAATGAGCGCGCAGCCGCGAGTCGCTATCCGGCGTATTCTCGTACGCGTAGCGAGCGCTGCGCAAGATGGTTCCGACCTCGATCCCGCTCTGCAGGCCCTGCTTGCGCAGAGAGAGCTTCTTGAGCTCTTCGAGGCCGTAGCGATCAGCTGCACAGTAGACTGCTGTGTCGCGGAGAATGACGTCTCCTACGCCGGAGTGGAAGAAAGTTGGCTCGACAGCAGCTGCGCGGTCGCCGGGTTTGTTTGGGTCGGGTGAGGCAATTGCACCTTCGAGCATCCAGGTCTGGCGGCGCTTGTCTTGGACAAGGCGTGGGTAGTAGTCGCCCTTGTACAAATACTCGAGGATACAACTGAAAATCTCAGGTTCCTCCGTGGGCAGATCGATGCGGCGATTAGCGGACTCGAAGAACTGGCCCCGCAGCAGTTCAGCAAAATACGGAGAGTGACTTAATACATCTTCATGCGCGGCGAACAGTCGCTGGTCGGAACCAACGATGACTGTCACGATGGAAGAGGTGAGCGCTGGTGAGCCACCATCCATCATTGGACTGTCCTTGCGCGTATCCAGCTTCTCGGCCATGACCTTCTGCTTAGACGCATCGCGGAACGATCTCTTCGGCTGTTTGGTGATCTTGCCTGAACGGTCTTTCTCCTTCGAGCTAGCGAAAGAGCGTTTGCCGAACATCTTGACCGAAGAGAGAGATCGAAGTAGCGAGCGACGGAATTTCTCGTAAAGAGTGGACAGGTTAGTGTGACGCAGCGTTCATATGAGAGAAATGGGAGCTCCGGAAACTCTCAGATTTCGCAAACCTTTCGGGGGAGAAAAGTCGTTGAAAATCCGAAGAGCTTAGCGAGTTTACCAACACTGGTGGTGAAGATAAAGCACGCTTTGGTTGTCGAACTCAGGCTTGTCGTGAGGCGTAAAGATTCAAGTTGTGGGGTCGCAGCTTGTTAAATACCGACGATGCCAAGTCGGTGCCCCTGTAGCCTGGACAACTAGCGCTGGCAGGCTGGGGCTATGTTACATGCATACTCCTATTGCTATTCGCCCATTGCTGCATGCTGGGCTGCAGCAGATATCTATCAGGCTGCGAGGCGTCATTGTTTGCACCTCCTCATTTGATGCCCTCTGAAAACATGGAAGACCGTGGAACATGGCAGTTCCTCTGAGGATTGACAGTAAGCGAGCCACGAATAGCACGCGATATGGTGTGTTGGACCTAGCGACGTAGATTCGAGGCGCGAAAAAAAGCTAGCATGGACAGGGAGCTGAAGTTTGTAAGTAAAGCCGTTTTGGTCGGACCGTTTGTTGTGTGCGCGTCACGTCTCTATCGCGGTGTAACGTGACCTGGGGTTGCTGGGCGGCCTCTGTGACTCACGAAGATAGTGGCTGCAATGAGTGACGAAATGTCCAGTCCTGCAATGCACCGCGCCCAAGTCTAGATTCAGGAAGATTTTGCAGGTCGGGGACAACATGCAGAAGTAGGTCCAGAGCTCCGAACTATAATACTGCGCTTATGCGCTATGCCTAGTGGTGAAGCGAGCAAATGCGTGGCCTACGTGTTCAGGGACTGTAGCTGCTGCTGCTAGATGCGTCGCGGTCCTTATCGTGGTCTTCGCCTTGCAGTCGGTCAGTAAGCCAGTCGTAAGCGTCTAGCAGCTGTCAAGTCCAAGGTGAAACACATTAGCCCGTCAAAGAGGTCAAAACCACGTGTTCTAGATGACTGTCGAGGATGTCAAGTCTCGGAGATATAAGTGTGGATTAAGGACATGGGAGTCTTGGTAAGATGTGGTGACGGGGATGCACCTTGATGTTCGGCACTCGCAAATGAGGCGCAAAGTAGCGATACTACCGTTCCCTGGTGATGGTATGACGTCGTCGTGTTTTCACACACTCGAGTGAAGTTCAGCAAGACGTGATGCGAACAAGAGACAGATATGGAACGAACAACGTGTGAATTCTAGCGTGTCCCTGCTACCAGAACGTGTGAAGGCGATCGTCTTCCGGGCCGCGTGCGGAGCTTTGACTAAGGATCCAAGGTCCCTCGTCATCCATAGGCAACTTTCCCCACATCTACAACCCTCTTTTCACGTCCATCACCTGCCACTGCATCCCACTTACCTACACGGAGAGTGAAGTTGTTGCATTCTATTCTTACTCGTCGCTCTTCCTGCACATTCACAGCGGGCGCCTGCTTCTGTCTGACTACTTCAACTACACTGCCTACCGCGTCGCCGTAGACAGTCTCAACCAAACTTAACAGAGCAACCACACCAACTAATCGCAACCATGAGCACCGGAGCGAAGAAGCGTATCATGAAGGCAAGCCAAATTGCCCTGGCGCAGAAGCAAGTGTACTAACAACAAGACGATAGGAGTACGGCGAGTGCATGGCTGACACACCGCCCGGTATGAAGATCAACTTCGACGAGCAGAACATGACCAAGTGGGAAGTGTTGATGGACGGCCCAGCCCAGTCGGCCTACGCGGTATGTTGGATTGTCTGATCCATGCGCCTTCCGTGCGCTCTCGGTAGCGCCTGCTAACAGCTATGCAGGGCGGGCATTTCAAGCTCGAGATTACTTTCCCGACCGAATACCCTTTCAAGCCACCCGTCGTCAGCTTCCGAACCAAGATCTACCACCCCAACGTCAGCAACGACGACAAGGGGTCCATGTGCTTGGGTCTGCTGCGTGCCGATGAGTGGAAGCCGCCAAACAAGGTCGTGTCGGTGCTCCGCCTAATCCAGACGCTGCTCATCGAGCCCAACCCGGACGACGCGATTGAGCCGTCCATCGCCAACGAGTACCGGGAGAACCGCAAGGAGTTTGAGAAGAACGCAAAGGACTGGGTCAAGCGCTACGCCAAGTGAGGGGTCTCACGGGTCCTTTACCGGCCAGGCGGACGTGGGCATCGGTTGGGGCAGCACAGAGCTTGACGGATACATATTCATTTTGCATCTTTGGCGTTCGGCGAAATTTGCATGCGGACGGAACCCGTCTTGACCGGTGTGGGCGAAGAAGCATACAATGTTTTGCAGATCGCGATGCACGCACGACTTAGCCAGGCATCGGGCGATTAATGCAGGGTAGACTTACTCAGGTTCACCAAATAAGATGAGTTCAAACCGCAACATGTCGTCATGTTCAAATCTCCCATGCCAGTGCTCTCAGAAGCGAGCCGCAGCATATTACCAGGGGGGACCTGAAAATTTCCTTCTCGAAGCCCGAGAAAGGCTTCCACCGCCTAGTGCACTTCCTATCTGAGATTGCTATGTCCTAGGCAGGTCGACCATCCAAGTTTGTTCGCTTCGGGTGAGAGCTTGGAGGCTGTGAGTGCAGGGCCAAGGGCGCGGTGCTAGCGAGTCAGGCGCAACAAAGCGTGTGGCACGCGCCTCAGAAGTCCCTCGCAAGTGTTCCAGCAAAGCAAATAGTGCATCATGTAATCCGAGAGAGCCGCCCTGGGAGCTGCTCGTCCTGCTCGCCATGCATCGAGCGAGCGGACAGACGAGGTAATCTTGTACAAGGTGTATTGCTTGGTAATTGCTGTGATCTCCGTGTTTCAATAGTCTGCCCGCGGCTGATTGGCCGGGAGCGCGTCAATGTCGCGAGGCTGCCGGCCGTCGGTACCTGTTGCAGCGCTTATGCAACTCTCCTAATTTGTGCCGTTGCATGTCAAAGTAACGAACTCCTCTGACAAGCCCACAGAGGTCCACCAAGCTCCTACCGGCCCGCGACCTCCCAGCTTACAGGAATCGGGGATGAGGGAAGCGCCGCGTCTTGGCAGAGAGTCAGTGACGGACGGATCCAGGCGCTGCAGCTGAAGGAGACTTTCCTGCTACACTTTGGCCGCACTCATCTCCTCACCACCGTCTGATTGCACCCGCGCCAGTGCGGCACACCACGTTCCTTATCCTTCGAACCCGACCTCATTCTTTCACTTTACCCGTTCACTGCCCCGACTGCTTTTTGCTTGCCAACGCCGCCGCCGCCGCCGCCATCACCGCCACGCCCCAGAGCAGGCTCTCCACAGGCTCGACACCAATCCGCGCCGTTTCACGACAACCACTCACCCTCGTTTCGTAGCCTGCAACTCGCACCCGAGAATGTTACCGCGAATCACCAAATCCGAGCTGTCCTATTCTCCGGTCGAATGAGCGCCTGTTCCGCTGACCTACACCACCACATTCTGCACCCGTTGACCACACAATGGGCGACGCTCTTCTACGTGTCGCTACAGGCGTCTCGCCCGTAGCTGATGCTGACAGGAGCCCAGAGCCACACGCTCCCTACACGTCACCCACTACCGAATACACTCCCCCAACGTCTCCGCAACCGCAGATGCCGTACGCGGCGAAGAGGGGATTCGGATTACATCGGTCCAAGCAGCCAGCTCAGCTCCAGATGGACACAGCAGACGCGCCGCCATACGAGCACCCCGTCTACAGCCCATCGCCTGCAGACAGCCCGTCCCTCCCGCTTGCGGCACTGCCTTCCCCCAAATTCGCCCAACGCCAGCGAGCTCCTTCCCTCCTCCGCCATGCTGCCATACCCTCCTCTCTTAATGACATCCAAGCTGGAATGGGACAAGGCCCAATGTCCCCAATAATGGCCCATACAATGGCTCGCCCAGATAGCGGCCCACGTTCGCCTGATCTTCGCGCCATTTTCAACCCTCTGGCCAGCAATCCTGTCAACTCGACTGGGCCGTCGTGGGACTCTTCCAACGAGGATTTGCCTGGGTCACCTGCCTCACCTTTCAGACCCCGCGGGATGACTGGCTCTTCGCAGCAGTCCTTCCAACCAACTCCTCCCTTAAGATCAGTGACATCTGTTCCCGACTACGCCCAATATGGAGGCACCGGGCGCGCTAATTTATCTGGCACCTACAAACCCAACAGAGGCGCCCCCAATTGGGCCCACAACGACTATTATCCTACTCCACCTCGACCGTTTCGCGGCGAAGAGCCACGGGCCAGTTTTAGGTCCGGGTGGACCAATGCGTCTTCGAGTATACTAGAAACCAGCGGTACAGAAAGAAGCAGTATTGCCACCGCACGGAGCTCTATCGCCAGTGATCGGCAAAATAGCCTTTACTCGAGAGACCCATCGAGAGACCGTCTTCGGGAACGCGACGGCTCACCAGAAACAATCCAGACTTCCGAAATTGCCGAGGAAGATGAATACGTAGACCCTGTTGGCGACGTGCTGGATTCCTACTATTATGACGAGGAGGATGAAGAGCGCAGTCCTATAATTGAGCAGGGCGAACGAGACTTGCAAAGCCCTTCGCCAGTAGGTCTTGACTCAGAGCCTCCTGAGCTATCGCAGACGCCATCTCGCGATTTCGACTCATTAGATTCCTTCCAGTCCAACGAGAGCCTGAATGGTAAGCTAGGAACCAATGTCGACTCGAAGGAGCTGTTGACGATTCGGCCACCCTCTGGGTCGGACCTGGATGAGGCATACAACGCGGATCCCGCCGAGCGAAAGGCGTTACGTATCGAGTTATTGCCCTCGGTACAAATCAGCCCGTTCCAGGCCGCATATACACCACGAACAATTCAAGCTGTAGTGCAGCAGTCCAAGAAGAGACAGTCAGGCGTACCAAAAAGGACAAGTGAAGAAGCACCCAGGCGTGTATCTGTTACATTGCAAGCTCTGGCGCTCAGGACCACAGAAACCAAGGGACACCACGCGAGGAAATCGAATGGCAGCCGTTCACAACTCGATCACATTCGCCGCGATATATCCGGACTTCCACAACTGCCGCCTAGCCGATCCCGACTTTCACGCCAGGATTGGGCTAACATTGAGGCCTACTCCAAGCGACATAGCAAGAGACCAAGCGTTCCACGTACCTTTTCTAATGAATCTCTGGCCAGTTCCCACATGCCTCAATCTCCGCCTATGCAGAGATCTCAGCCGCTCCCCGAGCTGGATGAAGACGAGGCAATTCCCCGCCGCGCTTCTACGAGTGTGTTCGACCGGAAGAGCGCGTTGTTTGATCTTGGGATGATGTCTCAACTTACAACTACCAAGAGCAAGCCTGAGACTCCGAGAACCCCCACGTTAGCACCTCCCAACCAGCACGTCACGACTGTGATAATGCCTGGTCTGCGAAAGACGGCTGCGCCTGTGGAGAGAGACCGCTATGGATTCAAGAAGGCTTCTGACAAGATCAACGTTCAGGAGTATAACGCGTGGGCTTCCAGATACGAAGAGCATATCTCCCGCAGGAGAGGCAAATGGATCTCCCTGATGGCTAAGCAAGGTCTGCCGACAAATGAGCCAACCAGGTTCCCTGATATGTGCGAAAAGGTCAAACGATACGCTCGTAAAGGATATCCCCCTGAGTGGAGAGGTGCAATGTGGTGGTTCTATTCTGGTGGTCAGCACATGATTACACAGAAGGAAAATGTCGGTCTGTACAAGTCTCTAGTAGCTCGCGTCAACCAAGACGAGCTCAACAAGGACGACAAAGATGCAATTGAACGCGATCTCGACAGGACGTTCCCCGACAACATTCATTTCCGTCCGGAACCAGCAACTGATCTACTCGACGGCGAGTCTGACGACGAGCCAGCATTGATTCAAGACCTGCGCGAGGTGCTCTCTTGCTTTGCTTTGAACAATCCCAACATTGGTTACTGCCAGTCTCTCAACTTTATTGCTGGTCTTCTTCTGTTGTTTCTCAAGCAGGACAAGGAGAAGGTTTTCATCCTTCTTACTATTATCACGCAAAACCATCTCCCAGGTGCCCACGCTCGCAGCCTGGCAAACACGGAAGTCAACGTACTTATGATGTTGATCAAGGATTATCTGCCAAAGGTGTGGGCGTCGATCAACGACACCGATCTCATCAACAGCGGCGCTGGCTCAAACGCTCATCCCAACTCGAAGTTCCAACGACAACCCACAGTCGCCCTCTCTTGTACTTCTTGGTTCATGAGCATCTTCGTCGGTGTCCTGCCAATCGAGACCGTACTTCGCGTCTGGGACGCATTTCTCTACGAGGGACCACGTGCCCTATACCGCTACGCTCTTGCCATCTTCAAGCTCGGTGAACCCGAAATCAGGAAATACCGTCCTGGTGATGGCGAGATCTTCATGGCCGTGCAGACACTACCTAGGCGCTGCCTCGACCCGAATATCTTGCACGACCTGGCGTTCGTGAAGAAGGGTTTTGGAAATCTGTCGCAGAATGTCATTGACCAAAAACGAATGTTCTGGCGCGATCAGAACATCATAGCGCATCAAACTTCTGTCAAGAACACGAACGGTCGAAGACTGCTCGGCGTACCACAGGAGGACGAAGAAGACGGAGACAGGGATAGCCTCCGGAAGGCCATGGGCATGAACGGCCTACGCCGTCGCGCATCCCGAAAGTTCCGCAAGATGGGCATAAAGTGAAGCGAGACTTCTATTGCCCATTCCAAAAATAACCGACTAGACGTTTAGCACGAGTCCAATGTCGTCGACCGTGCTTTTCATACTTACATATACGTTTGCAGCGTTTTCCATCATCTGGCGTTGACTAAAAATGGCGGGGTTATTGGGATATTTTGAAATGCTTGTTTCTTCTTGTATAATAATCATGATATACCCTTTGTGTGGGCGAGTTGAGACGGAGAGATTGCAGAAAGTAGAAGGATTGAGACAGGCTACTGTCGTAGCATAGCATGGCATCGGATGGACGTTTTGTTGGGTAATGATTACGATGTTATGACCCTCATCAGTCAATCAATATACCCAGTTCGTTCGTTGTACCATTACTCATCTTCACATCTGCTGTTTGTCAACTTGTCGTGTTTGGAGAAAGACCATGTAGTAACTCGTTGGATTTGATGCTGTTCTATTCCAAACCCGGTTCCGATCCTTGTTCCAGATAACTCCAGTGTATCCCATCCGTAAATGCTCGATCGAATGCCTAAATGTCATCATGCTTTTCCCTCGTTATCCAATGTCCTCTTTCGACATCAACACTTATTGCTTGCTCTCCTGCTCCCTCGACAAACGGTCATGCTCGTCAATGTCGCTACCCGGTTGTTAGTATCCAAATATAAAAGACCGAGGAGAAAGAGAGAGGGAAAGGAGCAAAACATACGTAGCCTCCCAAGGGTAGTTGATCCAAACATCTCCAACTGTCCTAGCAGCACTATACCTGCCCTTGAGAATCTCCTGAGGCAGTTGACCCTTCTTCGCCTTATCCTTGTTGTGCAAGACGAAGATTGAGAAGTTTGTCTTCTCGCCCTCGCGGCCGAGCTTCTTGACTGCGGTCTCGACATCCTTCTCCAGCTCGCGGACGGCGTATTCGAGGGTGGTGCGTGTGTCATCTACCTCGTCAACGATGAGGACGTTTTTGCCGATCAGGTTGGCCATCTCGAGAGAGGAGAGGTCCAGCCATTGGGTTCGTGTTACTTTTGTGCCGGGGGTTTCGACCTCAGAGTCGGGACCCGAGCCGAGTTGTTCGTAAAGGGAGAGACCGATGGCCTGGATGGGGATGTTGGGGCTGTTAGGCTTCTTGAGGAAAGAACTGAAGAGGTTAGTCGAGGGATTTTTGGTTTCGGAGGCCTTGAAATGGGACTTGGAGGTTGCGTACCGGAGGATACGCGCAGGGACGTAACCACCACCGCCAATGGCGATCATAAGGTTGGGCTGGAACTCATTGAGGATTTGGTCTGCTGCCTCTTGGCAGAGCTTGTGGACCTGGAGGGAGGGAGGATGTCAGCTGCATTCTGCGTATTTTGTTTACTGGATATTGTGTAAGGGCTCCAGGTTCGTCATAGTCGCATACGTGGGGACGTAGGTAGAGTCTCTGGAGGTGTTTGCTGCAACAGCCGCGTCGAGGCGATACCAGTTCTCGTGTTGTATACCCGCGGACTGGTTGCGGTACACAAGCATACCACATGCGCGTGTGTGCGCGGGGTGTCTGATCGCATGTGTAACATTTCATCCTGCACGTACCTGGTTGTATGTGACGTAGACCTTCTCGACCATTTTCGCGACAGTGTTCTTAACTACGGCCTTAAGCGTAAAAAGTGGTATATGAGTTGAATGGCGGAGTAGAATTGTTTTTGCAAAAAAAAGTCTGTCACGCCGCGGCAGAGTCGAAATGGTTACCTACTTGAGTAGGCAAGGCTAGAGCGGCGTACGCCGAAAATCCAAGGTGGGGTGTCTTGTGCCCCGCAACCTTCTTGTGAGCCAATCAGATGAGGCGTGGTTCGATGATTCACATGCACGCAATGGGTTGTGAAACCGTTAGTAGCAGCAGGTCTGCAATCATGCATGACTGACTACAAATAGTGTATATATCAATATACATTTGTATCTAACACCTCAAGTTCCCACATATCAAAGAGTGTTCCGCTCTTCTTCGGCCATTGGCCTTCATCATCATCGCCGAAACAGAGTATATAGAAATGTAACACCGTATTCCTGACAATGTACTTTTCGTTCATCACGATAGGCGAATTTAACTTCTCCCAGACGAGGGTCCTCCTGAAGTCCTTCGTGTCCCAGACGACGGGCACGTAGCGTTTAGCATCACTAGTACCCATTTGAGCAATCATGTCTCGCTGCTCGGCCTCATGATCCCATCGATCACCATAGCAGGTGTCTCTCCACCATGCCAGTGAATCCCACCATGAGCCTTGCTTACCCTGGTATTTCGGACCCTGCCAAACACTTAGGTCATTTTCCTCCTCATTGAACCGTAGCAAGAGCGACATCTCCCCCTGAGCAATGTCATAATGGTGCATGTATATCGCGAAGATAGACTCTTTGTAGTCTACTGGAACAAAGCCGTTTATGGCTGGACGTTCAAATCCTCGGGCGCCATCAAAATCAGGTAGGCGTGCACGATGGGTGCTAATACACTCTCCGCGGTACGTGTAGCGACGAAATTCGAAATCTCGTGGGCCCTGACAAGGTGTAGGACTACGTGAAGCTCCGGTAAATATGACGATCGTCTGGGTTTTGGGCTGTACAAGAGGAGCTAGAATGTATGAATCGTGTCTCCTGAGCACGAGTTAGATTTACAAACCAAAATGGCCGAGACTATTGCATAGATGTCGTTTGGTAAGACAGGCACGGTTCAGGTTTAGGATATGCAGAAAGTCACCTACCGCGGGTCGAGGAATATGTTCCCCGACTCGTGCCTGATCTCAAACGTCCTGCCACGCTGCGAATCGTACTCCCAGATATACACCGATGTGTGGTGGTCGACATAGGCAACACATGCGACAGTGCGTCCACGACAGCTAACGTTCTTGAGGTAGTTCCTGTTTGGTACTCTGAACTTCTTGCAGCCTTGTTTGCCTCGCAATTCATGCACGTAGCAAACGTTTGCATATGTGGTCAGCACCACGATTTCACTAGATGCGAAGACATTCATGATTTGCTCACGTGCTTCTCCGCCCAACACGCGGAGATGCCATGTATCAAGGTCCAGCACGCAAGCGGAGCGTGATGGGGTCACATCGCGGTGGAATACGTGATGCCAGATGAGACTACTGCCTACCAGCTTGAAATCGTAGATCGGGTTGCTAGGAAGGAGTGACTCGTCGGAATCGTATTTGGGAATGATTTTGTAGATACGACTCGGCTTGCCAGTGCGAAAAGCATGTATATCGCGAGCTTTCTTTTTACACAGGGCGTATTCAGCATCTTGAAGATTGACAGTACCTTGATACCACTGGTTGAGGCTTGCTTTGAGGACATGTAGACTCCGGAGGGTATCGCGCCATCGTTTTGAGACACTTTGGAGGCGATATGGAGTAGCAGGATCCAAGAGGCAAAATATCTGAGCCACTAGCTCAACTGGCAGACTGCCGATGACGTCGAATTGAAAGGTGCGGCTGCTGGTCGCGGCATGGAGTGCTCTCCACTCATAGGTTGATAGTTCTGCTGTTAGATCCTGGAGCGCCCGGCCTCTCTCGTGTGTCTGAAGGCGTCGAAATGCGTTGATGAAGTCAGTGGCCATGTTGGATTTGCTGTCGATCAGTGAGCGACGGACAAGCAGAGCTATCGATAGCGATGCGCGAGCCGAGTCGTGCAATCATATGCTTTGCGTGGTACGGGCGAGCAGTAGCTCTGGGGTAGCGCCTAACGTTTTCCAAGTGGGCTGGGGAAAGTCGGTCGAGTGCTGACTCGATATGGGTTTGGTGGTTGACGTCTCTGTGAACGTCTGTGCGGGTAGGCCGGCTAGCCAATCCTGCGGACCCTGGACCCTGGGCCCGATAGCAAAAGCAAAGCCGAGGGAGTTTGACAGTGGGCATGGGAGTTTGCCAGAGAGGCAAGTCTGGCGATGGTGCCGTATGCCAATCTGTGCGACTTGACCGCATCCGCATCACGGGAACGCGGTGTAAGGATAGGCATATCAGCCGCATTATACGCTGACCCCCGCAGCAGAAACAGTTCGCGTTATAGTGATATTAGCGGTGGGTTATTATGGTCGAGCGATGTTTCAGTGTCTCGACCTGCAGCTGGCCGACGACAGGGGTGGTGGACGCATGCAAGCGTCGCCATGGCCGCCAGTGTTTGCCGTGAGGGTGAGGTGCATGCCAACTGCCCTACAGCAGTAGCAAATCCGACTGCGGACAGACAGTCACCCGGCGCTGGCGTGTCGGTCGGGCACGAGTAGCATAGATAGATATAGATAGATGGATGACACTTGGCTCCCGCAGCACGCTCCAACCTCATCGATCCCCCGTAATTCCCCTTCGGCAGCGCTACCGTTCCGCCCTCGACTGCTGCCGTGCCAGTTTTGCGACACAGCCCTTCGCACATCGCTGTCGTCTCCTCGTCCCCGCCAAGCCCTCCATCGCCCTCGACGGCGCTGCGCTCAAACACAGCATATGGAATTGTGCCCTGGAGAAGCGTGTCAAACGGCGTAGAAGAACGCTTGGACCCCCTGTGCGAGCTCCTATTCCACAGCTACGGCCGCTCCCGATCCGACAAAGGACCACTCGCACCGTCTGCCATCCCGACCTTTCTGGAACCAAATTTGTACGGTTCGCGCAGGCGCTAGAAGAAATCCCAAAGACTAGGAACCTTCCAAGAAGCGCGCGCCCGCCGATTCAAAGCTCCTGCGGCGACGTCGGCCACACATATCGCATGCTCCTCCGCACCTTCTCCGCCCTACCACGTTCGCTGCCCACCGCAAATCGGGACCCTGCATCCATAGAGCTTTCACATTTTTCGACACGCTCCTCAGGAGAACCTCTGCATCCAGCGTCCGCGGGCCATCTCACCACGGCGCCTGCTCTCCACACTTGACCCCAACGCCATGGCTTCTGTCGCAGAGGCCCGCCGGAGTCCCTTCTCCGCCGATCCACACAATCCCAACCTCCACAAGTCGATACCCATCCTGCCCTCGTCTGGCTCGACGCTTGCGCCGCCTAGAGACCCCATGGACATCACGCCCACCTCGTCCACCATGGGCCCACCCTCTGACCGCAACGGCACAAGCTCCTTCCAATCCCAGTCGCAAAGAGAAGGAAATGGAGACTCGGGCAACACATCGCCCAACGGCAACCAGGCGCCTGCCGTGGGCGCTGCCGCTGCCGCACAGCAGCCCAAGGTCGTCCAGACGGCCTTTATACACAAGCTATACAAGTGGGTGTGCCGCAACAGTACGCAAGCGATGCGACACTAACGCGACACAGCATGCTCGAGGACCAGAGCATCCAGCACCTCATCTCTTGGGCGAGCACCAACGAGAGCTTCGTCATGTCACCCTCGAGCGAGTTCTCGAAAGTGCTGTCGTACGTGCATCTAGAGTCCAGCCGTCTCAACCTCCCCAGCTAACCCATCCCAGGTCGTACTTTAAACACACCAACATCTCCTCTTTTGTCCGCCAATTAAACATGTATGGCTTTCACAAAGGTGCGTGTCCAGGTATTCTGTGCTGTCCTGTCTATTACATGCTGACAGCTTACTGCAGTGAGCGACGTATTTCACACGGGATCTCCAGACACACCACTATGGGAGTTCAAGCATGGCAATGGAAACTTCAAACGCGGAGATCTAGTCGGTCTACGAGAGATTAAGCGACGTGCTTCGAGACACGCCCTCATCCATCGCGACTCCTTCTCCGCACCCAAACTGCCTACTGGACCACCAGCTGCTCAGCCAGTCGAGCCGATGCCGGACCCTACAGAGTCACGCCTCCAGAATCTTGAGCATAGCCTCTATGACATGCACGCGCGCATGCAGCGGTCAGAAGACACATGTGCCTACCTCAATCAACGGAGCTCGGTCCTAGCCGAGGGCATGATGAAGTGTCACCAGGTAAGTCGATTGTCTCGACCTGATCTACAGCAGCTAATATACAACTCAGTGGAACCAAGACCTCGCAACTCTGATCATGCAGATGGTGCCGGACCCGGAAAATCCAATTCACAGGGATGGTACGTGTCTATCCTTGAACCCTATCTGCGCGACACACCTACTGACCCGGCTAGTGGCTATGATGCAACGTGAAATTGCTCGACAAACAGACATGCTCCGAGCACTAGAGCCACCAGAAGAGCCACCCCTATCGGCACGCCAACCTTACTTTATGCAAGTAGACTCCAGCAACGGCCCACCTCTTTCACCTCGGCAAATGCCACAAGACAATCTAATAGACTCACGAAGAGGATCCTTGGCGAGTATCTCACGGCAAGCTCCATACAAGGCTCCGGTCCCGGCGCATCTTGCAATCTCTCCCCGACGGTACGGATCAATAGGCACGGGTAATTACTCTCCATCTTCAGCCAGAACCCCAGTTTCACATCAGCCACCCCCACCTCCTCCTCCTCCTCCTCCACCAGTCCAGCAACCAGGAGCTGCAACCCTTGGAAGCAACTTGCCAAGCAGCTCATCCCCACCATATAATCTATACAGGCGGCACACCTCGGCAGATATCCGCACCCATGGCTGGCAACCGCAACCACCTAGTGGGCCAGTTCACTCGCCCTATGCTTCTGGTCACAACTCGACACAGTGGCCCTCCTCACCTCACCGCCCACCTATCGGAGGAGGTGACCAGCAGCTCCGTGATGCATTAGAATCATACCAACTACCCCGCGGTCCACGGCAAGCGTCGTCAAGACATGGTACCCCTCCATTGTCAAGTGACAATATGCCATCGACATTAAGCGCAGACAGTGGGTGGACGTTACCAGGAGCTAGGTACCCTTTTAAAGGTATCGACACGCCTGGACCACCTACTCGACGATCCAGCATGGCATCCAACGTGCACTCGCTACTTAATCCTGCCGAAACTGCGGAGCGCACGGATGAAGATGAACCGGACGACGCGCGCAAGCGGAAACGCATGCAGTGATGATCACATACCCCTGCCAAATGACATTCTCCTGCAGCTATATCGACATTGCCCTCTGTTGTAGTTTTACCCTTGATCCGGCGTTCGCTGAGTTTTTCTCTGGACATGTCCCTGGTATTCAGCTTGATTTTTCTCTCTATTATTGCATCCTGCAAGCCTACAAATATCCACTTTCCTATTCAATCTTTAATTCATATCGAAGAAAAGCCACTGCATAAGGGCATGTATACGCATTGGGAGGTAATGACTTTGACCATCACTCGTTGATATTGGATGCTAGGTCATGAACGTTGATACTTCCTCATGTTGGCAGGCCTTTGGACCTCGGTCGCTTTGGTAGTTGGAGTTTTAGGGTCGGAGAAAGCTTCTTCTAAATTCAATCCGAACATCGGTCATTCGTGTTTACACCATGGTCTTATTTGCCGTGTCTCACAGATACAATATACTCTGACTAACACTTGCATGGTTCTCTCTTGTAAATTCGTCTCCGCTATTGTACATGTAGAGGTTCATTCCCAAGACGCAGATGAACGCAATATCGAATGACTAAACAACTTATTCCAGCTAACACGATCAGGGCTGTCAGAATCACGAGAAGACATCCGTGCCAAGCGAGCCATACACGGTAGTCTAAGGCCAGGGAGGCGGTAAGAGCGCTCTCCAGACGCGACGCGTTCTTATCTTAGCGCCATCTCGCAATCCGACCCGCGTGCGACGTCATCAGGATGCTTCACCTTGAGCGTCACGTCTTGTTTCCTTTCGATTATGATTGACACTCCTCGAACAATCACTATATCATTTTTACTGCTGACATGCCTACCATACTGTAAGTGTTCCTCTATGAGCTGCATGTGAGACGCATACTGAGGTTGTACACCCGAGATTAGCGTTGTAGGAGCTACTCGCGGCCTGGGTGCGAGCATCGTAGAAACATATGCAGCAGACGCAAACAACCACGTTCTGGCTACAGCGAGGACGTCAGAACCCCCAGAGAATAGTGAGTGACTCCTTGTTCTGTTACAATGTTGTGACAAATCAACTGACTTTCCAAAGCAAGCAATATCACTTACATTCCAAACATCGACCTCGAATCCCCACATGCTGGCAGCGACCTCGTCCACTCTCTTGAATCACACAAGATACCCCACCTGGATATCATCATAATAACAGCAGGCTATTTTGCAACTGAGTCGCTTAAGGAGCCCTCCTTTTCTGCTCAACAGCGCATGTATACAATATGCGCCATCGGTCCTACCACACTCGTAACCGCACTTGCCAACTACAACAGCACACTTCTCGATGACCGGTCCAAGATAGTCTTTGTATCTTCCGAGAGCGGCAGTATTACACTCAGACATGAGTCGGAGGGTGGCGGCAACTATGGCCACCATGCCAGCAAAGCAGCGCTCAACATGTGTGCGAAACTATTAAGCCTGGATCTGAAAGACCGTGGCATTGCGATAGTCACCGTACATCCAGGCTTCATGAGGACGGACATGACTCGTAACGTGGGCTTTGATAAGTTCTGGGATGAAGGAGGCGCAGTCACACCAGATGTCGCTGCGCAGTCGCTTGTGGGATGGATTGAACAGTTCGATATTAGTCATACCGGACAGTACTGGGCTCCAAGAGGACCTGCGTAGGTTTAGGTTAGCTCAGATTGAACACTGTGCTAATCATGATTCCAGGGACATTGGCACTGCCGAGCCCGTGTTGGGACCTAAGGACAAGCTGTCGACTCCTCTTCAGCTGCCATGGTGAGCAATCTGGGCGAGGTGTGATACTTCACCGCTAGAGTTGACGATTAAAGAACTCATGGTAATGTAAGTGAAGTTTTTGGTAGGGTATCGAAGCGCAATGCCTAGATTACAACCTAATAGTAATCTCAAGGACTAGTCTAATGCCTCGCAATAAATGCTCAATCTTCCTTGGAAATCAAAACGCGGTATGCTGTGCGAAAAGAACCAAATCATATAACCCAATCTTACTTCGTCTCTGCTACCATATTAGGCTCGGTCGGCTCGGTCGCTTGCATGCTCGTACTATCTTTACTGGATGTTTCTGGTACCCATTTTTCCGCATCTCCCAGACGGTCCGTAGTAAGCCCTGCAGAGCCAGGGTTGCGTAGGCCTGCCTCCAATTGTCTTTGGTAGCTAATCTGTCGTAACCTTTGCGCTTCTTTCGGCGTAAGGTGCAAGTAAAGCTCTACACCAAAGGCATGTAGCGCAAGCGACACCCACAACGCCATACCGAAGACGACATTCAGGGCCGCACCAGTGTTTGCTGCATCCCCGACCGCAAAAGTTGCTGCCACGCTTGACACTGCCTCGGGGTCTGTGCCGTTGACGAAGGATGCGCAGGTAGGGTACGAAGTTGCGAGGTCCACGTCACCGGAAATGGTTGCTGCAATCTTCGCGCAGCTCCAAACGATATAGTAGTCTTGCGATGCGATGATTTTGGCAGCGATGATCACAATAAATCGACTTGTGATGATCGTGCCAGCGTAAAACCAGCCTCTCAACATCCACGCACGATGTTGCTCGATCTGGAGTCGCTTGACGTTGATATAACTGATGATGAAGCAGCCTAGCGAACCGAAACCCAGAACGCCGACAAAGCTCTGTACATCCAGACCACCACCGAATGCATGTCGTGCAATCATCAGCGCGCCAGCGAGGCCCACGAGGTATAGGAGGAGCGCCGCATAACCACCAATGCGGTGTACGATAATCCAGCGCCGGCGAATGAAAGGAGTGAATTGCACCACTGCCAGCAGACTAGCGGGCAGTACACCAGCGAGATGCAGTAGGATACCAATCTTGTAACGGTTAAAGTTGAGATAGTAGTAGCATTCTCCTGGTGCTGCGCCGTTGCCGCCTGGGCTGGCACCATCTGCGGGACAGAAGTTTTTCGAGAAATCGAGATAGGACATACGAGCCAGGGCGACTATAGATTGTATTAGAGACATGTGAAGAGTCTTAAATGACAGGGAACATACAGCCTACGAATGCGCCGCCAAAGATGATATACAGCCAGAAATTGTAGGCTTTTGTGAAACCAAGTGGGTTCATAACGTGTCTGGCAAAAGCGCTGGTTGATGGTGGTGATGCGACCATGGTGGTATGAGATGCGTGAGATTCAAGGGTGACTGTTTCTTGGTTTGAGTTTGAGAGACTGGTCTGTTATTGTGTAGATGATGATGTTTGCTGAAGTATGAGCCATCTTCGAGAGAGATGGTCGCATGTTATAACTTCAATGCTGGAACACATCCTCATACCGCATCGAGGTGATTCTGCGCCAGTACGCACAAGATTTCACGATCAGGCAGTATGTCAGTAGTATGTACCTAGTGCGCGCAATGAACCCGCAAAGAGTTGTCTATGCGACAGAAGCGCCACCTTGGCCGATCAACGAGGCTGTGAATCGATGATAGTCATGGTCAAATCAGCGCAAGGTTAGCTAGATCTGGTCCACAGAATGTGGGCAGCATGCAGCTGCACTTCAAAGCTTCGCCTCGATTGTTCGGCGTTGCAAGCTATCCTAAATCTGGTAGCGAAAGCTGTCGCAGAATCAGCCGAAAGGGGCAAGGCGCGGATAGGATCCATTGGCTCAATGAGCTGACAACACAGGACGCCTTATTGAAGCCACTTTCCAAGCTTTCCAAAGATTCACGGCATCGTCATAGATAGATGCGCGCCAATCATTATCCCTGTACTTCGCCCGATTCCTAACCCTACTACACTACGCTTCGTGCTTCACCGTTACGCTAGCAGGCAGACAACGTGTGTCCATAAAGGGACTATTCTGCGCTGAACGACAGCTAGCGTACGAGATCCTTCGTGGATGCGCTTGTTCTAAACTCCCGAGATGGTGGGCGTTCCAGGACGTTCGAAAGGCTGTGTGACATGCCGGAAGAGAAAGAAGGGTGTAAGTGGGAGCGTCTTTGGAGAGTACCTGAGGATGAGAGGCTGATGGATGTAGTGCGATTTGGCCCAGCCCGAGTGTGGTCAATGCAAGGAACGCGGCATCACATGCGGAGGCTACGATTCGGATCGCATATTCATCTACCAAACTGGAGGCGGGTCTCCCCGTTCTATACCAAAAGTAGGACGGCATGCGACCGCCTCAAAATCTCCCGAGCAGCCACATCGGCACACCATGCAGATTGTGCATGTAAAGCCTGCGTCTGATCCAGGGACACAGAAATTCCGTCCTGTTTCAGTACCAATCATGTTGCCAGATGGGCTTGCCAGATCTGCTTACAGTGAAAAGACGATTGCGACTTTCCTAAGTATGTACAATCCAGAGGGAATAATTCGCACCACCAACACGGACGCAAAAGAGTTTGTGAGCTTGTTGCCCATGCTCAGTACGCGCGATGAAGCACTACAGATGGCCGCTTTGGCAGTCGGTATAACACAGCTTGGGATAACTTCGAACAACGAAAGTCTTACACGACAGGGAAGAACATTGTACGGTAAAGCACTGAAGGAAACGGCTGTAGCTCTACAGAACCCTTTCCGAGCGAATAGCGAGTCACTCCTTGTTGTACCGCGAGTCATGGCCCTATTCGACATGTTGTTTGGCGCGGAACCAAACACGACCAGCCAGGCGAAGAGCTGGCTCAACCATTGTGAGGGCGAGCTAGCTATGATAGTTAGTCGTGGGCCAGAACTATTCGCGGAGAACGACGAAGCACATATGTTGTTCACTAATGCAAGGTATCGACTATTGGGGCCTGCTACCCGCGCCAGAAAACCAACGATACTGAATGAGGAAAGATGGAAGACAATACCCTGGAAGGGACGAATCAAGTCATCCGACGATGTTCTCATCGACATCCTCTGCGGCATACCCGAGCTCTTGGAAGCTGTGGACAAGTTGCAGTTCCAATGCATGAGTGAACAAGAGAGAGAAGGGCTACAAGTGTATACGTTAGCAAGATGCTGGACACTGCACTTCGAGCTGGAAGCTTGGGTCAACGACAAAGCGAACGCCATATACACACCTAAGATTGTCAACAACTCAACCTCTATTACCTTCCCCAACATTGATGTTGCCAGCGTCACAGTCCGATATTGGTTGACGGCTCTTTTCCTCTACTCTTGCCTCGACATCGCAAGCGGTATCGATCCTTCGACCGACAACCTACTTTCGCATCCCGATCGCCCGCACCCCCGGCCTTTTGCAAGAATGATTATGAAGTCAGTCGGCTACTTTCTTCAAGAGCAATTCGGCATAACAGGTGTCATGGCTATATGGCCGCCTCTTGGCCATGCACTGTTCTACCTGAACAGGAACAGGAAACCTGACGAGGAATACATTATGAGCATAATGCGCATTTGGCATCAACCAAAGCTGCCGAGCACAATGAGGGTGTTTTTGAAGAGTTTCAGGGAGACGGTCGATATGAATACTCTGCTAGCGAGGCCTGTGAGCGAGCTTTAGCTTTCAGATTGTCTGCTTCGAGCTCGGATGAGATACGCGCGTGCAAGCCACAGCATACTGGGGAGTCACGAGGATTATGAGGAACCCTAGCATGGGCATCAAAAGACATTACATTAACTACACACCAGGAATGCGTTTCTTATCCGAAAGAACAACGCACTAACGCCATCGCTATGCAATACCGACTTCTCGACGTCTCATCGGCCCGCTACTCAATCAAGCTCAATTAGTCCAGGCCCAAACACCGTTCTTTCTGCAACCTCGCCGGCACCATCGAACGTATCCGCACCCATCGTCACAGCCGCGATAGTCAACCCTTCCATGTCAAACTCATCAAACGGAAACGCAGCCTCAAACATGACTCTGTCGTCCATCATCTGCACATTTTCAAATCCTTTGGCAACTGGCACATTCTGCCCATTGATCCAAACAAGCTTGAGGTGATCAATCTCGAACATTCCCGCATCCTGCATCGAAAACGAAAACTTAATACTCTGCGTCTCAGCCTTTATATCCTTGGTTTCGACCGTCAAAGGCTTGAATGTCTTGAGCGGGATAGTGTCGATATTTGGGCAACTGCCCTTTACAACAAAGTCTTGTATCGCTGTAAAAGCAAAGTCGCGCGCTGCGGTCGTCATAAAGGGCTGTGCGCTTGGTCGCTTCTTTTGCTCAACCCGGAAGAAACCTTCTTGAGAGCCCTCATTTCCTATCACGGACGATACAGCACGTACAAGACCAAAGTCCTGCGAGCGAGCAAAAAGTTCGTTGACGTCTTGCAAAGTACCAAGAACGAGATCTGTGAACGTTCCTGCTAGAGCAATGGCGCTTGCGTAGTCGGTAACGGGAAAGTTGTATTTGCAGGGTTCGATGGGAACTTGATTGAAGTGCTTCAATGCTTCGTTTGCGTTCAGGACGTGCATCTCTTCTTGTGCGACAATGGCTTTTAAGGATTCAATGATGTAGCCCTGTCTGTCTCCGAGATCGTAGCCTGGGGCTTTGTCGGTTACGTTGGCCATAAGTTCGGTAAAGAAGGCCACTTCAAACAGCTCGTTTAGCGCAATGAGCTTGAGATTTATGACGCCATCCGGGCTGATTGTAGGGGGTGGGGGGCCGTTGGGTAGGGTGCCGTGACCGTCTTTTTGGATCTGAAGGATGGCTTCTTGGTTGGGGTTTGGGAAGCCGTTGGCGAGGGGGAAAGGTGCATAATCGCGTTTGTTGACTGGTGCTGCAAACGTGATACTTGCCAGTAAACTGGAGACTGATATTACTGAAGATATTATGGAGGAGCGCATGATGTGTGATTCTTGGAGGACTGAGGAGAGTCGAATGATTGAAGCAGGGGAAAGGAGGTTTATTAGATGGAAGATTGGAAACGCAACAGGAGACCGAAGAATACACTTTCAGGCCCAAGGCATCCGTGTCTTATCATGTATCAACCGTTCTCTTGTTCCGACTTCCGGGTGCTTGTGTCGACGGATGCAGGCCTTCCTCAACCTAACCTACTATTTTCATCTCACGTTAGCGCCGCACTGTTAACTCCATCGAAATAGATGGCCAACCAAAGCAACTCAAGTGCCATGTGTGTTCGGAAATACTCGCGTCCGACGCTGCGTGCGCACCAGCACTTGAGTACCATAGCCGCCAAGGCTCCAACAGGGTGAGGCTGTGCATGTGAGAAAGGAAACAACTTGAGCCGGGACAGGAATAGATCGTGAGATATCCTGTTTGAAGGCTTGTTTTCCAAGCGCTTTAGTGAAGAAAAGCTTGTCTTGCGTTTGGTAAAAGCTTAGTTGATACCTTGTTTGAGACGGTTAGCAGATTACCTTCTGAGTCGTGCAAGGGTCTCGATTGTTGTGGCATCTGGGGGAACGAGTGGAACAACAGTTCCCAGACCAAACGTTACAAGTGTGAGATCAAATGTCCAAGGTATTGCGAAGGATGTTTGAGTAGCCAACATGGTGTGTTTGGCATGTTTCGACAGATCTGGAGATGGCTTGGCGTGAAACGTGGAAAGAGGCGTCTCGCGACGCGGTGCATCTTTGCGGCAGCTTCGTGTTCACACACGAGTCTAGCAATTATTGTTGATCTGTGTGAGTAGCCATGCAATAAGCCGAACTCTGCTCCGTAGAGGTGCTGCGATTGTCTTTACTGGGTCGCAATGTTTGCCCGTCGTCGCTATCTGCAGCATCGCAGCATCGTTGATATTCCAAGCTTAGGAAGGAGGAGGTTCAGACTGTCAGCTGTAGTTACTCTGGTGCGCTCAGGGGTTTGTATGTTGTTATAGTAGTTTGACAGTTGTAGGTGACGGTTTCGTTGACTTTGTCTAGGTACAGGCGGTTGATCGGAAATTCGTTAGCCGAGCTAGACCGCGTCGTATGGAGCGATGACCTTCAGTCAAGAAACACTACAATACACTCTCGGTGATATATACAAATCGCTAAGGTATCTACAGTCAAAGGAAAATCTATCATGGATATCATTTACAGCATGGCAAACATTGTCGCGCACAAAGACAAAGCGGCCATCAGTCCTGCGCTGACCCTTAGCCCACTTGCCGCATCCTCTGCACCCTCACCCTTCTGTCCTTCTTCAAATCCATCACCTAAGTACAGAGCACCGAGCTCGGTCAAGCCACCATCGTCGTCGAACAGTGCCACCCCATCGCCGGTCCATTCGTTCGCATCATCTGTTCTGAAAGCACCGAACCACGAGTATCGTTCAACGTAATCCAGTTGGTCGAGATATGGTAGTGTCTGATTCATCATACTTACAGTGTTCTCTTCGTCTTGTTGCGGAAGTGCCATCTCGGTAATCCAAAGTTTCAGCGGCTGGTCTCTTGTCGAATTCGTGTTGTAGAATTCATCCAGGGTGCCTAACCAGCCTGCCAAACCATCAAAAGCACCGTACCAATGTACGGCAACAAAGTCCGTTGGGCATCCGTTTTCAGAATCGATCTCATAACAAGACTCGTTGAAGCGTCGCAACCAGTCAAGACCGTTTGGACTACCCGTAGTACTCGGATGGCTGATCAACCAATTCCTGCCGCCGCTATCACCATTCCGGAAAGGCACGACGAAATCGATGTATGCTTTCGCGGCGTCTTCAGGACTAATGCTGCTACCACCACTTCCTTCGGTGCCATCCGGCTCGTTAAAGGACAAAAGGTGCTTGCTACTTTGTGGCAAGCCTCCTATGACGCGTTCGGTTTGACTGTCTTCCGTGGCGTCTATGCCATGAATCATAGGGACAAACTCTAGACTGTCCGCCGGAATGAGATCACTATTTGGGTATGGAGACCAATTGTAGTACCATGATATTGGCGAATTGTCGGAGGTAAGCAAGCGGTTGTCTGGTACATGCGAGTCGCCTATGAATGCAAAACCGCGTTTTGAGTCTTGGGCCCATGCCGCAGTGACGAAGATGGTGAGGAGAGAGGTATAGGATGGCCTTTGCCGCCTGTGGCGAGTAGATTGGTGTAGCCGAGCCATGGTCGTATAGTAAAAACTGAAGAGGCAGTTACACACGTGAAAAGAAGATCGCTCTTTGTGTCAAAGAAACAAATCTATAATAAAAAGACGTTGGATGACGGGTAGATCCTAGTCTATACATGACTTCTTATCTTTTCGACACATTTTGTGGCGAGGTACATGACCATGCCTGGGCTTGCTGGGCTTGCGTCATTGATCGTGGGAAAGTTGGCAAGAGGAAATGAAGCAAGGCAACAAAACACAACTGACTCGGAACAGATAGTATAGGATTTGCAACAACCTTCATAGCAGGGATTAGTGGCATGCAAGATTAGCTGGCCGTTGGGCCTATGCTTTGCTAGCATCGTAAGCTCGAGATGCCAAAGTTCCTCCAGCACGCTAGGTTCGATTGAGGCTAGCCTGCTTTGATCCAGTCAGCCCTACAAGTGGAAGGAAATTCTGCGAGATCAGGGTCCATGAATTGCGATACATGTGGAGATTGCTTTGGACAATGTTGGAAGTATTCTTAGCTTTGGAAAAAGGCTCGCGTATTTTGGAGCTGTACCCTAAAGGCACCATAATGGGATTGCTGCATGTTACATCATTGTGAACACAACATAGTTTGTAACGAATACCTTCAAAATGCATTTTGGGTACGGCTTCCAAAAGGATCAAGCTGCTTTAGCAGGAATTGCATGAGAAAGACCAGAATCAGACTGCTTGAAACAAGCACCATTACGTTCAGCAAGTGCCTTGGTATTACATGGAGTCAAGCATGCGAGCTATCAGCATCGTGAACACAGTTTTGGAAGTCTCGGCTTTGAACATTTGGGAACCAGGACGTGGCCCTATTTATTTTACGGACCAGACACCGCAGAAATCGAAGTGCCATATCATGCATACATGACGAGTGTGGAAAGACCCTGAATATTCATCGCTCATTGACTCCCAAACCGTGCCCATGCCTTGACCGTTTTCTTCGCCGGAACATCATCTCCTCGTACATCCTCTACTCCTCAGAGGCAGTGATGGCCTTGCGGACGGCGCGGCCACGCTGCCTGGAGTTCAATCGGCGCTCGAGGGTCTGGGGGGACTTCTGGACAACTTCGGCGGCCTCGGTGAGGATGAGCTCAATGTGGGAGGGGTTGCTCATGTACGGGTTGATCTAGACATGTTAGAGGAGACCGCGACTGTAGACGCTAGTGTACGTACACGACCGTGAGCACGGTAAGTGCGCCTTCGCTGCTTGGGGGCCTGGTTGACCTGGATGTGCTTGATGATCAGGTTGGAGGTGTCAAGACCCTTGGTGTCGGCGTTGGCCTCGGCGTTCTTGAGGAGACCGATGAGGATCTCAGCGGACTTGACGGGCCAGCGGGCCTTGGAGACACCGAAAGCCTTGCCTGCTCAAGTCAGCCCATGTTCCTGCAATCGCCAACATCGACTCTGTTTCCATGCCCAAAGCTCCTCCCCCAGTGCAATTTTCCATCTGTCCACAGTGCGAATCGGGTGCAGGGCTACTCACCCTGAGCAGTGCGTCCAGTGCTGCCGGCGTACCGCCTCATGGGGATAGCCTCCTTGTGCTCCAAGACATTTCCGAGGTAGGTGAGGGCGCGGTCGAGCTTCCAGCCGTTGACAGCCTGGGCAGTCTCGCGGGTGTTCTTGAAGGATACGCGGAGGTAGCTGCCGCGGGCGCGAGCAGACTTTGCGCCGTCAATGGAGGAGGCACCGTAGCGAACCTGCAACAATTAATCCCATGTTCGGTGCGTGCAGCGTTGGCACTGAGTATCGCGACGGCAGACGTACCATTTTGTCGAGATGTGCTGTTGTTGTTAGTAGACTGGCGACGTGAAGGGAAATCGAAAATCCATTGTGGTTTCCGGGTGCATTCGCTAAGGAATAGTGGGCCGCTTGTGGCTGCGACACGTGATTGGCCGCGCAGAATATGGCGCTAATTAGAAAAGTTTCAATGGTGAGCTCGAACTTCACCTCGAAGCTCTTCAGCACCCATACCGCGACATACCGTATCCACAGCCACTTCAACGCGCACAGTCAACGCGCATCTAGTGGAACAGATCACGCAGAGGTACGTTTGCCAGTATTCATGACCTATTACATCAAAGCTAACTCTGCGCAATAGCTTTCGCATCCCATAACCTACTCGAACTATCCCGACAGTTATAAGCAATGGCTTTCACACCTAGGTACGATTTGCGCACGCCTCGAATCTTTATCGCGGAATACATCTTGCGCGAATCACGCCATATTGAGCGACATGCTATCGGATAGATACTGTATATCTTGACGTTTGCCTGCTCAACATGCGCGTTTTGCCCTACGGAGAAGCTCTTTTTTCCTTGAGTCGCACCCATGCAGATTGCATTCTGAGTGTGTTCGCTATGTTACAATACAGCGCAAGCTTGACATAACATATAGCGAATGCCTCTGGATTGCTTTCCAGCTAGGGTGCAACCTTGACGATATCAGCTTCTCCGGACTTTTCCCCGATCATCCATTTGTAGCGCAGCTCTAACTTTGAACAGAGGCGGTCGTGGCGGCGGCGGACGTGGTGGAGGTGGTGACCGTGGAGGTCGCGGTGGCTTCACCCCCCGAGGTGGTCGCGGCGGATTCGGCGGAGGTCGCGGCGGTGGTGACCGTGGCGGCCGTGGAGGTGGCCGTGGAGGTGGTGGTCGTGGTGCCCCCAGAGGCCGTGGCGCTCCCCGTGGAGGAGGCCGTGGCGGAGCCGGAGCTCGTGGAGGAGCCAAGGTCATTGTTGAGCCGTGAGTACAACCTGCCCAAATTGCGTAGTGCACCTACTGACCACTTCTCCAGCCATCGCCACGCAGGTGTTTTCGTCGCTCGCGGAAAGGAGGATCTCCTTGTCACCAAGAACTTGACCCCCGGAGAGTCCGTTTACGGCGAGAAGCGCATCAGCGTTGGTGCTAGCACCGCGCCCAAGGACGGCGAGACCGAAGCCCCATCCAGCACAGAGTACCGTGTCTGGAACCCCTTCCGCTCCAAGTTGGCCGCTGGTATCTTGGGTGGTGTCGACAACATCTACATGGGCCCTGGCTCCAAGGTCCTGTACCTCGGTGCCGCCTCAGGAACATCAGTCTCTCACGTTGCCGATATCGTCGGACCTGAGGGAACCGTTTTCGCTGTTGAGTTCTCCCACCGCTCCGGTCGTGATCTCATCAACATGGCCACTCACCGCACCAACGTCATCCCCATTGTTGAGGATGGTATGTCACTTCCCACTCTTCTCTTCTCGATAGTCGCTAATATGATCCACAGCTCGTCACCCTCTGAAGTACCGCATGCTCGTCGGCATGGTCGACTGCATTTTCGCCGACGTTGCCCAGCCCGATCAAGCCCGTATCGTTGGTCTCAACGCCGGACTCTTCCTCAAGGTTGGAGGTGGTATCGTCATCTCCATCAAGGCCAACTGTATCGACTCTACTGCTGCCCCCGAGGCCGTCTTCGCACAGGAAGTCACCAAGCTGCGAGAGATGGGCATCAAGCCCAAGGAGCAGCTTACTCTTGAGCCCTTCGAGCGTGACCACGCCATGGTTGTTGGTGTTTACCAGCGTTCGCAATAGACGGAATGTGAGCCGTAATAGGCTGACGGCGCTTTTCTGATTTCAACGATGCATGCATGTGGTCATATACCTGTACTTTGACGGAACTTGGTGTTCTCAGGCGTCAGGAGGGACTTGGTTGTCATGTTTTGATAAAAGATTTATGGATGCGATTTGAACGTTCACTCAAAGTGCCGAGTGCACCAACATGGTGATGTGTTCTTCATTCCCATGGCTAATCGTCGCTCTTTTTCATGCCATGTCCCCTCCTCCAATATCGTCTGTTTCCTCTTTAGGGTTTCGAAGCTACGGTCTATGGTTTTATTGCCACGTATATAATACAAGGTATTGTATCCTAGGTCAGCCTTTCAGAATAATGGTTTTGAACTTTACGATCTCTTGCAGCGCCCACCGTGGCGACAAGCGATATGTTGAGGCGTGACGTCAGACCAACGTACTTAAACAAACAACACCTACGCAAAGTTCACCCCGCGAACACGTCTCCAAACCATATCACACCAACCCCACACTTTCAGATTCTCAGAATGGCAGCCCAAGCACCAGCGATATACAAAAACATCATAATCTCTGGCGGGGCCCGAGGGATTGGTCGAGCATTGACTCGGATGATGCTCGAAGCTGGCCACCACGCCTACATCTTCGACATCGATGAAGACGAGCTCGAGCATACTACCAAGGTTCATCTCAAACAGTACTACGCCGACGGCAGGCTTGGTTCGGCGATCTGCGACCTTCGCAATGTCGACGACATTCGTGCCAAAGTCAAAGAGGCGGCCAAGTTCTTTAATGATCGTATTGATGTCCTGATCAACAACGGCGGTATCGCAAGTCCACAGTGGAGGGATGGCAAGACTATGGAGGACCTCTCGACCATCGATGAGTGGAAAGCGTACATCGACACCAATCTTACTGGCCCTTTCGCCATGTCTCAAGCTTGCATTCCGTACATGAAGGCACGAGCATCTGATTTCGAGCATGGTGCGCATATCCAGAACGCGAACAATTCCAGTCCTGCAGGTCCATGCATCATTCACATTGGCTCCTTCCGTGCACACCAGTCGGATCCAAACCAGGAGGGGTATGCTTCAAGCAAGGCGGGTCAACTTGGGTTGATGCACTCAATGGCAATCAGCCTAGGTAGCCTCGGTATTCGAGTCAATCTCATCGCACCTGGACGCATCAAGGTTGCACATGAGAGCAAAGAAGGTGACGAGAACGGTGCGGACTGGGCAGGTCAGATCAGTGAGAAGGACGTGTCTGATCACCCGACAAACAGAGCTGGAAGACCGAAGGACATTGCCGACGCTGCACTGTATCTCATCGAGGCAGGCTTCGTTACAGGACAGGATATCACTGTCGACGGAGGAGCACTACGGAAGAAGAATGCCTAAGTGTGTGACAAAGTCAGTATTCGAAGGAATGTATAGATCCAACATGAAAACCAAGGGATGATACGCAGTTGCATAATTGATACGAAATACCCAACGAGAGTAATGACTTTTTCGAGATGGAGTGATGAATGACAAGAACAAAAGTGACGCGGAACCGGTCCGCTCGATCTAGCTCGCACGGGCCTCTGTTCGCCTAAAAATCATTGACGCATCGCAATAGAGTGACGCGCATCGCTACGACTCATTGCGTCCGCTCTTTGTTTCGACAAGCTGTACATAGTTACTTCTCGTGTCTGTTGTTCTATTCGTCAAGTTGGCTTCCAAACTGAGCGCCACGAAGCGTGCTACGACCATTACGACTAATGTCCGGTTCTTTGCATCGCGCCCACGTTGCGTTCGGCTTGTAGCGCATACGAACTACGCTGCTTTTACGCTCCACTCAAGACGTGCCCCTGTACCGAATCGATCCTGCCTTCTCTTCCGAACCTTTGCGACTAGTACTCCGCGCTATTCAGCTCTCGATGCCTTGACGGATCTTGCAATTGCACACCAAGAGAAGACCAAGGCCCATGATCCTGCAAAACCAAGGATTCGCACTCGTTTGATATACTGCGATCGAGAACGGGCCCAAGAGGATCAGTACGGAACGAAAGACCATACCCGAGCTCGATCCGTACCAATTTCATGCCAACCCGCGCAGCAACCGATCCCCGAACCGCCCGAACTCGAAAGTATACAGACAAAAGCTTCCACGGGTAGTAGTAGTAGTAAGGCCACCTGGAGCAGAAACATGTCGTGCAGCATCGAAATCGTCACAACGCCTACGGCTGACACGCCAGGCACAACGCTGGTGCTGCGAACGGCGACCAAGCACTATGTTTTCGGTAATCTGGCAGAGGGTACTCAACGGGCAATGGTACAGCAGGGCACACGTCTGCTGAAGGCCCAGGATTTCTTCTTGACGGGAAGGGCAGAGTGGAAAAATATGGGCGGGTTGATTGGCATGATGCTCACATTGGCTGACTCGAGTACGAGCTCTTATACCACAGCCATGGAATCGTTTCGTCAGGCTCAGGAGCGGGGAAAGAAAGGCGAAGCGCCACCAAAACCGCACTTTGACATATACGGACCGCCGAACCTAAAGCATACACTAGCAACATGCCGGAGATTTATCTTCAGAAAGGGCATACCGATCAATGCTACCGAATATGTGAAGCAGTCGCCTGAGAAGAACGAGGATGGTGTCATAGTCCCGACCTGGGAGGACGCAAGTATCAAAGTGTGGGCCATGTCAGTATCGCCGAGCGGTTCTGAACCTGATAAAAAAGCGGAAGCTGAACTGGAAAAGCGGCAAAAGCACTTTGACACACACTTGAACACGTTTGACGAATTTCAAGCTCCTGAGAACGAGAGTCCAGAAGACCGCGAAGCAAGATACGGAAAAATACGGACGGCGACTATCAAGTACATGTTTGACTCGAATTGGAGGATGGACACACTTGTAGAACGACATATCTCCGAGGTAGAAATGCCTGCAGCCATATTCGTTCGTAACCCCAACACACACGGATACGAGCCCTACCAAGGTCCAAAGCCGGGCGGCCCAGATCCTCTTCCCGATATCACCGTCTGGACCCGGACGCCGTGGCCTGGCGCTACCATTCTGGCCCTTCCACCAACTAGGCCAGCGCCAGAATGTGTGTCGTATATTGTGCGGTCGCTTCCATTTCGTGGTCAATTCGATGTCGCACGTGCGAAAGCGCTAGGTGTTAAACCGGGGCCTGATTTTGGAAAGCTGACCAATGGCCAGTCAGTACAGAATGCGAATGGAGAGACAATAACCCCAGAACAGGTTGTCGGAGCTGACAGGCCTGGTCAAGGTGTTGCCATCCTGGACATTCCCTCAGTTGCGTACGTTGAAAGCATCCTGCAGCGAGAAGAACTTAGCTCTCCAGAAGTGATGACTGGCATTGGAGCTATCGTTTGGATGCTGGGTCCAGGCGTTGCGGGCCATCCGACTCTTGTTGAGTTTATGAACAAGATGGACGGTGTGGAACACGTAATATCGTCTCTGGATACTGCGCCAAATCGCATTGCAAATGACTCAGTAGCGGCGCAGGCTACGCGTCTTGGACAGATCGACCCAACAAGATATTCTACGCCCGTGTTCGACAACACTTCTCTACCACAAAATAGTCTGTATAGGACTGGTACGTCAGCAGTATCGCTGTTGTCCAAAGGAGCCATCGCCGCTGACCGGGGCATGTCCTTTACACTCATGCCGAAGTTTGTCTTGAAGAAGGACACTGCTTCCAAGCTCTTCGTTCCTAATGAGATACAAAATGAGACCCCACCAGAAGTCCTGGAGTTGGCTAAACAGGCCCAGGCAACTGTGCATAGCAACCGCGCAGACATGCTTATGTGGAAACAGCTATTGGCACGTCCTGACACTGAGGTTACGACTCTCGGAACAGGTTCTGCTTTGCCGTCTAAGTACCGTAACGTGTCTGCCACTTTAGTACGGGTTCCTGGTATTGGCAACTATCTTCTTGATTGTGGAGAGAACACACTTGGTCAACTTTCAAGAGTCTTTCCCTATGAAGAGCTCATTGATATCATCAAGAACCTGCGGATAATCTGGATCAGTCACCTACACGCTGATCACCATCTGGGTACAGCGGCGGTAATCCGTGCATGGTACCAAGTAGTACACAATGCCGTCCCCAACTCCGAGTCCCTCGATACTTCCGCGAGCAACATAAACACTAGCGCATACGGTCTTTCTGTAATATCACACAGTGGGATGCTACAGTGGCTCAGCGAGTACTCTGCAATCGAAGACTTCGGATACAGCCGGATCCTCCCTCTTCAAATCACCGCCAATGAACCACGGAAGAGCTCGACATTATCCATAGTAAACTCGTTCGGAAAAGATGTGTCTGAGAACCCGATCGTGCAAAGAGAGGACTATGAGCGCCTGTTTGGGTTCCAAGACATACAAGCGGCTAAGGTAGCACATTGTAACGGAGCCATGGCTGTTTCAATGACTTTCCCGAGCTCGCCATCAGATCCCAAAGACGTAAAGCCACTCAAAGTCAGCTATTCGGGTGACTGCAGACCGAGCTACCACTTCTCCAAAATTGGAACTGACACGACTGTCCTCATTCACGAAGCAACTTTCGATGATGAGCTCCAAGGTGACGCAAAGGCGAAGAAACATTCCACCACGTCCGAGGCTTTGGGTATCGGCGCGCAGATGAATGCTAAGGCCGTGGTGCTCACGCACTTCAGCCAGCGATACCAGAAAATTCCCGTCTTACAGACCGTCACCGACGGTGAGGAAGAGGACCCTCTACTCAACCCCAAAGAAGTCGCCGAAGACGTTCCCATGGAAGACGAAGAAGCCGAAGTTGACCCCACTATCGAGAATGCAGACAACATGGACATGCACCCCACTATTCCATCTTCCACAGCACCAGCTCCAGGCCCTGCGAAACCGATCCATTCGCTCACACATGAAACCTCGTCTTCGCTCCGCGAAAATGCGCGTGTCATCAAAGTACGCAACAAGGACATGAAGGTCGCCATCGCATTTGACTACATGCGCGTCAAGATTGGTGAAATTTGCGAGCTGGAAAAGTTCAACGATGCACTGAATGAGCTACTTGTCAAGGATGAGGACGCGGACGGCGCACTAGAGGGAGCTACAAAGGGCGCGAATGGCAACGGGAAGAGAGCGAGTGAGGACGATGGCGAGGGCAAGGAGGGTAAGGGAAAGAAAAAGCAGAAGAAACAGAAAGAGAAGAGCAAGCGGAACAACTGAGTTGCGCTGGAAGTGATATTCATGAGTCACGGTATCGATGTAAAATATATGTAGAAATCAAGGCGTCTGATGTGTGTCTAGAACGGCTCGAAGAAATTTTCTCATGATGCCTTCCACGATCTGTGTATAGAGCTTGTCGCCACTGACTCCAATGCAACGCCGACATTAGCAAACTCCGTAATACACCGGGTATCGTGCGCAGTATTTCCGAAACAAAAGAGAATGTTGGGCGGTACAAAGTATCCGACCATGCAATTCTAAGCAAACAAGACCCTCTCGCCCCAAGACTTTCGGAGAAGGAAAGCGGCGTGCCGGATATCTTGTAGACTACCCCCGAGGATAGTGAGCGCGTAGTAGGTACCAGGTTACATGTGCACCTGATCGCAGCTGTGTGAGCGTTATGACGACTCCCACCTAGCCGCTTGCTTCAGCCGGTATCTTGTTTGTCCCAGTTACCATCGGTACTCCCGAGAAGCATCTTGAAGATATTGCCGGTGGAGGGCTCTGTATCAACAATGTCTCTAGGCACTTCGTAGTACTGCTTCTGATCGTTGTCGAGAATATCCAGGCGCTGTCTCCCAATCTCATTGTCTCCAAATCGGATGAATTGGATACCAACATGTTCCAATCTACCAGTCTCCCATAGGTGGTTGACTAGGCGAGTAATGTGGTCCTGAACCGTGGAAAGACATTCTTGACCCTGCGACCAAACACCGTCCGTGAGGATGTAAATATTGACTGGGGGCTTCTCCTCTACTCGCGAAGACCAAGATGATCTTTTGTTCATCTGGGTTCGATAGTAATTCGGGAGGATCTTGTTGAGTGCTATACCCATCTGACACTGACCACCAGGTTTTACCTTTTCGAAATTCTTCATGAGTCCATTACGGTGTTTTTGGCGGTCGTCATGCTCACAACTATTAGCGAACCGTAACTCAATACCGTCTGGGTCTTTAGTTTTGACCAGATAGGCTAGAGCCTCGAAGACCCTCTTGACCTCTTTCCAGTGTTGGTGCATTGACGCCGAATCATCGATGAGAAAAATCTGATGCCACTCAGTCAGCGAGGCCGTCATAAGCCACTCATTAGTATTGACGTACCTGATCTCTGCCATGCAATCTTTTCAACCACTCTTGACCTTGTAGAGGAGGCGTTCTCGCGTCCGCCTTCTTCATGCGTATGTAATTTAGAGCTTTATCAACGGAAGCTACTGGAAGATCTCTCTGGCCGACGGGTGCGCTAGAATGTTGAAACGAACTGTTAATACCAGATACCGGAGTCTGCTGCGGCACGTCTATAGTGTGTCGAGCCATTACGTGAAGACTTTGTCTCGAAATATCTTCTTCTTCGATACTCAAGGCTGTGGAGAATGGACGAGCGCCAGGGTTTGTACTGATCGTTGCACGTCGATCCGGACGGTACGTTGAACGCCCTGGCGACTCGTACGATGACTGTATGGGAGGTGTGCCAGTCGTCACCAAGCCCAGCCCAACTGGCAGATCTGGAGGCAGTTGGACGGGCATAGAGTATCGAGCATTGGTGGTGGCTGTGGGCGGGGCCTCTAACTCTATAGCTCGTGTAAGGTCTTCGTATACTCTCAAAGCATCTGGCCTCCTTGAAGGATCTTGGGCCATCATTCCACCAACGATAAGGACGACGCGGCTAACGATATTATCAATGTTTGTCCGGCGCGCATGGCAGGCTTCCTTGTGCACGTCCTTTACGACATCGAGAACTTTTGTAGTATCGTGAAAGCAGCCGCTATAACCTGTTTGCGCAAGGGAGGGAATATCAGCAGTTGCTTTTATTCGCCGTTCGTTGTAGTCGATCAACCCGTTATAACCAAATACGGACCATACTGCGGCTTCACTGATCACGCAAGCCAAGGCCCAAATGTCTTTGCTTGGGTGTGCTTGCTTGATGCTTTGTTGTCTGAACCTGTCCTTCTCACCACGAAAGTATTCGGGCGCACCTTGAGGATCAGTTAGAATAGAGTAGACCTGGGTCTCGAACGACAACGTACTATACATCTTCGTGCCGTGCACATCGCGAAGTTGTGTCTCGTCAGAGTCGTCCGCTAGCACAAACCCAGCGAGTCCAAGATCTATGAGTTTGTAGGAGACATCGAACGGGCTGTCGTTGTTCATCTCTGAAACAAGAATGTTATCCGGTTTGATGTCGTTATGTAGCCTTCATAACTAGATCAGCTTGAGCCAAGGATAGAAAGAGGTTAAGAATTTTACACCTACCCTACTCTGTACGAACGATGGTTGTGTGAATCAGGAAGACGGTGTATACACGATATTGGCTTTACGAGCTGTATGAAATTTGTCCAGAACTTCAATATGTCGTTCGCTGATGTTGGCGGCTCGGTACGTTTGAAAAATTCTGTGAGGGTGCCGCCGCTAACATATTCGCGCAATATGTAACAGGTGTCGCCCTGTATCCAAGAACCATAGAAGCGCGCCATATTTTGCATTGCATTTTGTCCACTTGAGTGGCTCAGTAAGGTCCTGTAAGCCTCTACCTCGTTATCATGTAACCTTGTATTGTCCGATCGACACGATTTCAGGATGAAGACGCTGGTAGGGGGATGATGTGGTTCGTCCTTATCGCACAGCAGTCAGTGGCTTACTATATATGCTTGGACTTGTATGCGCTCAGAACTTTGACCTACTGGGAAAAGGTGGTTATACTCCTCAAATAACTCGACCCTGAAGATAGTCGAGTCCGATCCCTCCTTCAGCGGGTGTTTTTTCCTGAAGGGTACAACCTCGTTCGCGTGTAGCCTCGTGTCATTCAACCGGTCATACACCAGCCGTTTCGCGCAGAATTTCCACTGCGTCTCGTTGAATTGAGTGAATATGACTTTGCAGACTTCCGGCCATTCGTCGCGGCTAAGGAAAGGCAATCTTTCGTCTGCCAGCTGGTCGTGCTGAATAAACGTCGTTATGTATACACCCTGTTTTATCGAAAGAAGGATCGAGAATACGACCAGGTATCTTTCCCGGACTATGCGCTCATAGTTGGGCGAACTAGCGACATATAACAAGAGCTTCCGCACTCTGTCTGCAGTAAGGTAGGTTTGAAGCGCGCGTGTTGACACGATGGGCCGGGTGCCTGTTGGTGAAGTATCAGCTATGGCGAACCACTTGCACTTCTCTACGTGCTTGAGGAAATCAGAGAGTTCGCAATTGGTGCCGGGCGCCATGGTGATCGTTAGGGATAGCGCGCATCAGGTAGTCGCGGTCGGTATCAGTCGCGCCGGGTACAAGAGCGGATCGGCAGGAGGAGCAGCACGCATGAAGCTTGGAACGTAAGCTGATATCGAGTTCGAAGATTTCGCAAGCGCGTGCTGCGAGGCTGAAGTTAAGGCCCCAGGAGCTGCTCTACGGTGGTTCGCTAAGCAATGCGATCAAGACGGAACCCCAGTGCCCCGCCAAAAGCTTCAAGCCACAATCTACCGGACCTGCATCACCGTGGCATCGTCCTCGTTGAGGCTGCCACTATCCAGTTGAAATCATACAGTCTTTCTTGCAGAAGACGCGACGAAAGACAAGGAGAGTCATTAGAAACAACAGACCGACGGATCCAGGAAGGATGACAAACAGTCGGACTGATCAGCCTGGACGATTACGAACGCAAACCTCCTACGATGAGTCTATGTCGACGAGTGCAAACAGATACGTCCTGGCAACGAGCAGTGATGAATATTTGGAGGGTTAGACGGCAGGAATGATCTTCCTTGTGGGTGCGACGTTGGCTTTAGGTCAAACGGGTTGACACAGCGTGGATCCGCCAAGACGCACCGGTCCACTACTGACCATGGCCTATGATTCAGGTTTGACACGCTTTCAGCTTCTAGTGGCTATCACAATGATCTTTGTCCCTGGACGCCCGACTGCATCGCTATACTAAACTGCGTCACCAGTCAAATTAAGTCGTATCTATGCTAGACTACAGAACATACTTTGCGGTGCGCAACAGCATTGGCAGTCCAATTCGAACGAGACACGGTTTGAAATTGCCTTTACAATATACACGTCTAGGAAGATAGAGGATGTCGCCCCTTTGTAAAACAATCTTGGCCGATCTAATGATTGGACAACCCAGGATATCAAGCCTCACCAGCTGCTTCGGACCGATCATTCTGTCTAGTTTCTCTTCTAGCCAAGCAATAGATGACGTACCACGCGATAAAGGTCATTGCTGTCGCAGGCAGGGCAACCTTCAAGTATAGCTTCAGACCCTGTATTTGTAGTTCTTGTTCGCCATTTTGGAATTTGAGGATATCGGTGCTCATGAAAGTCTGCTTGGGATCAGTAGATGTACGGACCCAAAGCACTTTACCGATCACTTACAGCGATGAAGGTTGCTGGAAGGAAGAAAAGAGTTACAGTGGTGATCACTCTCATTGAAACTGTCTCTTGCTTTGTCTTCATGGCAAGGTCTTGCATCTTCAGAGTCATTGTTTCCATGCGAGCTGCGCATTCTCGAGACTCTTTTGCGTAGAATTCGCTCGCTTTGGAGCTTCGATGTTGCAATATACCGCTTACCTGTGTGATGCCGTATTAGTGTATGTCTATGCTATAGTGCTGTCTTTCTTGCTGCTCGTTTTTTGGAAAGTGCTTGGTGGCTGCATTACTGCTAATAGCTGCGGCCTTCCTTGTTGATTTCATAGGCCTAGCCTGGGTATTTACCAGAAAATTTCCTATATTAAGGATAGAGTTCGAGAGTATAGTACTTACCAAAGTCTTTCGGTTGGCCAAGAGGTGTAGCAGAGTCTCCGTCCGCGACTGCAGCATGCGTAGATCTTTTTCGACCCCAACTACGCCTTTACAAAAGTGATGAAGGCTGGCTCTGCAGTCATCACGAACTTCTTGAGGAAATTCTTTATGCTTTGTGAGTTCTTCGTACTGCAGCCTCAGCTGCTCAAGAACATCTGTGTTCAGCTTCAATACAAGCATAGCTTCCTGTGCCTTCTCTTCAATGTGTTGTATGTCTTGAAGATTTCTAAAGGTGAATATATCAGGTGTCTTATCCAAATCACTGGAGGAAAAAGACGGTGGTAGCTCTGGAGGCGATAACCTTTCAGAAGATGGTAACAACCGCTTTTCATCTCCAGATATCGGGTTGTCGTTGGTCGTGTCAAGACGCCACGGCCGTTTCAGTGAACTACGAAAATCGTTTAGAGCTGAGTTCCATCGTCTCGTCTTTGGAGGAGAGTTCATTGTTGGTACCGATGTCCACAAGCTGTCATCAACATTGCCCATCGGCGATTGTGTATAGGGATGTGGACTTGATTGCATAGTATTTGATCGATTCGGGGATCGTTTTGTCCAAACTGGTGGCAGTGTGAAAGATCGTGATGGAGGACTTGTTGGAGACATCTGTGATACGTTGCAAAACGGTCCCATGTTGGGGTGTGGACTTGTGGTATTTAGTGGTGAAGGCGATGACAATGGTGTCGGAGTTCTCTCAACTTGAAATGCCAATACTCCTCTCGTTAATGTCTGCAATTGATCTTCGAGATCGTTGATATACCATCTCCAATTCTCGCCGGACCAGTTGCATAGCAGAAGATGCGTATCAAGAGATGCTGCAAATGCATCGCCGCGAGAATTGAGAGAGCCTTCACCATGCATTTGCCTCTTGGACGTTTCAGTCACACGATTCTTGATATCCTTGTTTCCTTTGACGATGATCCAGGACATTCGCCCGTTCTCTACATCGAATGTATGATATACAGCACACTGGCGAATCGACCACGGTAACTTTGACTGACTTTGCGATGGTTCCACTGATCTTAGGTTATAACAGAAGCGAATGTATTTCCCCGAACGATCTAGTTCGGGCAGTACACAAGCTCTGTCATACGAGGCCAACAGGGATTCGTCTCTCAGCCCACTGAAATGGAAGTCTTGCGCGTGTTCCCTTAGTCCGAAGGGAAAGACGAAGTCCAGAAACGAAGGAGGCACCTGGTAGAATGTACACAGGAAGCTGAACATGTCGTACGTGATACGCAACGGTGCCCGGCTTTGGCCTGCTGTTAGAAATCTGCCGTCATCAGCTGGGTCTCAAAGAATAGTAACGTTCGCTAACATGAACCGACACCTTGGATCAACAGCCTCAGGCTTCATTAGTTGTTTAAAGCCTAAAATGAGTTCCAATTCGCGCTGATCCTTGATGCACGCCGAGCTATAGCCTTGTGCATGGTTAGAAGATCAAATCGCGGCTGGCGATAGACTGCTTACGATGGTCTGCTTCATGGTAATCGAGAAAATCAACTCCCACTCGCTTGTCTTGGACATCTCGGAAAAGATATTTGGATTGGTTCCTGAGTCGATCAAGGTATCCTGCCGTGCTGTGTGTGAGGGCGCTGCGCTGTGTAAGATTCTTCGGGTAGTCCTTGAACCCTTCACAAGATAGAACGAATTTGTCCATTACGACTACTAAAACCAATTGATGAAGTATGAAAAATTCGTCCCCGAGGAAAATGGGTAAACCAGGCTATATAACATCACTGGAGATGATCACAGCCCCGAGTCCCTAGTCCGGTGTGCTGCCCTAGACGAATGCCACCAAATCCTGCTAAGCCCCGCGCACGAGGATGTCAAGCATATAGCCCCACGTTCTCTCCGTCAACACCTTTCATCAATCGTCTTCCCATCGCCGTTCTTTAAGAGCATTTCGCTGATCCTGAAAGCACGTTAGGACCTGTATTAACACTGTGTATTAAAAATCTACCCATACAGAGGTTAATGATCTAGGAATCCAGAATCTGTATGTCCCATTGACGACCTGCAAGCCTTGCTCAGCCTACGCCATTTGAAACTTCTGGAAATCATACTTGGATGAAGAAGTTATACGACCCATACAATTCAGTCAAGTACGCTTGCAAGTCTGCCTGGTTGAGGCGATAGTCCGGAAATGTATCCCACACGTAAGACATCGAGTGCTAGGTATCAAGGAGGCAAAAGGGCAGCGTCGAGGCGTAATTGAATTCGGGGTTGATAGACAGTAATATGAAACCGGTGAAGAACGCTCCAGTTCCAAGGCAGTCTGAAACCTCTGTCCTTCGCATACCCACGGCTAACAGATATACACCTGACTGGTGTGTCCTACTGCGTGCGGCTCTGCTTGACTGGTATCATCAACAGTCCTCCAGATCCAGATCGCAAGGCTGTCTAGTTCGTTCGGATCTATTCAGCGAATGATACGATCTAGGCTTAATTACTTGATGCAAGCCGTGATAGATGCACCTGTAATGAAGGGTCATGAGATGACATATAGCAAGCTACTACTGGCCAGTCTGTGATTCCGGTGAATGTCAACAGCTGCGCGATTCAGCCATCATCCTCTAGTGTGTGTGCCCGATTGGTGAGGCTTGCTCTGAGCAGCATGAGGGCGGGGCGAGCGCCATGTGGTGATCTCAGCAGATGCCGGGGCAGACTTTGAACTCGATTCTGCCTACTTACACATGATTACATGCATAAGTGGCACATTACCTCATCCAAGCACTTCTTGAATGCAGTACATAGAGTCTACCTTCCACAAATTACTGCCTCGAGTGTAGGCTCCGTATCGCAGGGTTTCTGACCGAAAAGTAGCGACGGCGAAGTTGGTATCGAAATGTCTTTCGCACATCAGATTTCGATTCAGAACTGGGTCGATGGGATCATGGAAGGACAGTGATGTGGAGATGTTGGTTGTTGCAGCCATGTGTGCGGAGTGTGTCCGCTATGACGGAGCTACCTAGGTACCCCGCTAAGAGTCACTGCCCCACCAAAATTTTGATACAGTCTAAAGTCTTTGGCTTGTGAACGACGCACATATTGTCAGCTATTTTGATATCGCTCAAGAAACAAGACCTGTCCAGGGTTTTACTCAGCAAGCCCGTCGCGATGTCGAAGCCAAAAGACCTGCGCACACTTATTGATCTCACCAAAACCACGCAAGCACTCCTCACGCACTTCCAATCCTCTCTCGCGCCCAGCAAAGACACCACTTCGAAGTCCGATGCCTCAGCGACTGAGATAGCAAATCCTCTCGATGTCATTAAAGCGTCGACAACACTCCTAAAATCGCATTCAACCACGCTGTCGCTCCTCCTCATAAACCCACCTCTCACTCCCTCGGCCATCATAGCGAAGATTGGCGATGTGAGCTCAGGCCCGCTGAATAGCTTGGTGGCTGCCGCCTCATACGTACCACAAGAGGGTCAGAAGGGTGACATCGGGAACATAATGCGCACGGAAGTCAAGTCGCAGGTGAGGAGGTTACTGGGGACATGGGGAGAGGTTCTTGTCATAATTTTGAAGATGGCAGAGAAGAGGCAAGATATGCAGGGCAAAGATAAAGGTCCGACTGAGAGCGAGAAGCAAGAAGTCTTGTCTTCCACTGGTGTGTTATGGGATGCATGCGACGCGCTGATAAAGTTGTGCGCAGACGGTGTTGTCGGACTGGTGGTCAAGAAGGCGCAGGAATTACGAGCAGTTCTGCTGGATGCGATCGAAGAGCTGAAAGAATGGGGGGAAGACGTTGGAGATGACGACGATGGAGCAGAAGGCAGCGACGATGAAGACGAGATCTTCGGCGCTTCGAACAAGATTGGCAAGGATGACAAGGAGTTAAAGCAACTTCTAGACACCAGTGTCAAGAAGCTGAAGATGGTAGGTATGCTATACCAAGCACTGGTCAAGAGGAGGTTAAAGACATATCCTGCGTCATCCATACTCGAACCAACTGCAGCCCCGGACGGCACCACCTCGACACCCTGCAAAAGGCTTGATGAACTTATGAACACCCTCAAGACGATACCCGAGACGGTCGACGACGTTGCAGGTGCATTCTATGATCTGGACGAAGATGAGGCGAAACAAACACTTGATAAATGTTGTGGTGAGGCTAAGAGCGCGATTGAGCTGGTCAAACAGAGTTGGAATGGTGAAGATGATGAGTTCACAATATGGTCTGGCAAGTGGATTAGTGCATTGGAAGCTGCCTGAACAGCATACGAAACCAATTGGCATCACAATGCTTTGACGCAAGGTATTTAGGATACGACAATTCAAACGAACAAGACGGTATCTATTGCGGTCCGACGTATAAGCGACCGCTGAATTACAAAATCTTAATTTACCAAGACGCGCCATCTCGATATTTCATTCCCCCTCCCAAAGCCAAAATCTCTCTACAATCCGAAAACAGCGGCCATACCCATGGCGACAACACCGTAGCTGGCAAGCTTGCCGGCAGCAGCGTTCTCGGTCTGCTCAGCGGCCTGGGAGCCAGTGGGGGAACCAGAGCCGCTCATGGTGCGGCTTCCGCTGACCTGGCTAGTAGATGCAGAACCGGTAGCGGCAGCGGAGCCGGAGGATGCTACTGCGGTAGGAATGTCGGAGAGGGTTACACCGGCGGCGCCGCAGAGGGAAGAGACGGCGGGTGCAAGGCCTAGGATACGATTAGGTATGGACATGGGATGGATGCATATAGAGGTATCAACGTACTGGAAATCTCAGCCGGTTGGCATCGCTCGGGCGCGCAAGTGAGGAGAGAGTTCTCAATGGCGGAACGACCGCTGGTGCACTGGCACTTGGTGTCTGTGACGCCACAGTTGGAACCAGGGAGAGCGGCGACGAAGCAGGGAATCTATTAACTATTGTGTTAGTTATACGTTTCGAATGAAGATGCACTGAAGTCGGCTCAAAAGATGTGGAGCTATCTCATTGCGATTACCGAAATCGCATCGAATCAACAATGAATGTGGAGAAGGTAACATACAGCGCACTGCGGGATACCGCTCAAATCCTGAGCACCAACGAAGGCAAGCGAAGCCGCAACGGCAAGAACGGTGGCCTGGAAACGCATCTTGATTATGTGGTATAAGTGGCTGTAGGGACTGCGGCAAAGGTAATATGGAGTATAGGTGAGATGTTCGAAGAGACGGGTGGATGAACAGGGTTGAGCGAGAAACGATGGGGAGAGAGGGACCTATGTACTGGTAAGAAGGGTAACAAATGTCTCAACTTAGTCTGGTCACCAATGCCTAGGTGCAAGCTTACTCCATAGGACAAGACTCGTGGAGATTAACATTGGAGTACCCGATGATCGTCTCAGGGATTGCCGCGATCCACCCTTACAGGCTGGGTTGACCATTTCCCCTCCCTTCTTCTCGACGTTCCTTGATCTGCACAATGCGTTTACGTTAGCTATACCATTTAGATGCGTGTATTTCGTCGAGTTACGAGGGCCGGACTGCGACCATGAGCCTCGCATAGGTGCGTGATATGCCTCGGATGAAGAGTTAGGTCGCAGTTAGAGTTTGGGATGGCGCCGAGCTTGCGGTCCTTTAGCGTTGGTCAGGCGGCGTGGTGGCACAGCAGTGGAGAAGGGTGGAGGGATCGCGTCCTTGCTTTTATCTGCGTCAACGCGACGGTGCGATTCTTACTCGCCGGACCAATCATCTTCCTTGCGGAGTTGTATCATTTATGTTTTGGCAGGCATGCTGCTGAGGCTCCGGGCTTCATTGTAGTGAATGTGGGGGATAGTGTACCCGATGAAAGCACGCTGCGTTTCTGGTAATTGTCTATTTCTCACGTATCCTGCCTGTTCTTGTTTGCTTTTACTGCATGACGACTGCTTCGGGCAACCTGCGTTCGCTGGTGCGGCACCAGATGCCGACCCTGCGTTAGGAAGAAGTATGTCGTCTTGGCATGCGGATGGGGAAGGTACCATCGACGGTTCGAACGGGTTAGTGGCGTAGCGCACCGCTATAGAGTGGGCTGCACATGCACAATATTCATCGGAAACAGCTTATCCATTTGTAGTGGCACTTTGCGCTCTGACGATATCGTGTTCAAGCCACAGAGGATGAAGAGATCTTTTTGCGCAAGATTGGGATCCACTGTCTAGGCAAAAAATGCCGATGGGTAAATGGTGAGTCCTAGTTGAGTTCGGCAAGGGACAGCCACGCGCGAAGGATCCAAGGATGCAGGTACGCGATAAGCGGCATGCAGGCTTAGATCACGATCCCTACCCATATCCCTTTTCTCCTCACACCGATCCTAATCTCTTCGTCGTGGTTGCGGAATCTAAATTCCCGTCTCCTTTCCTTCAAGCTTCTCTACGAAATCAATAGAACCACTCTACCTCGTCTCGAGCCTATCGTTCGTGAGTCGCTTTCTGGAGCGACGATCCAACGTTCTCGATTTCGCGCACGTCCCCTATTGCGGCGCCTGAAACACA